AATTTAAATTTTAGATGAAAGAAATAATATTCTTTAGAATTTCTTTACACTGATATCATTCGGAAGAATTTTATTGATTGATAAACGTTGATTAAATAATCTTAGTCCTTATAAACTGGCAATTCGTGAGCATTTTCTTTCGGCTATTTCGTGACTTCTATCCATTAATATACTTATAAGATGTTTAACTTATATCATTTGTAAGTATAAGAACACGCCCGGTTGAAAAGGAAAGAATTCTGACTTAGAAACATTCATTTATATATAAATTCTCATTTTGAAAGAATATTATTTTATATTTACAGTCTTAAGAGCTCGTAAATTATAATATAAAACACATTTGTTTAATAAAATCTTTATTGAAAATAAAGCTCGGAAAAATTTTATTAATCCGAATAAAAATTATAAAGAAATATAAGCTTTTTAACTGTTAATTACACTCTGAATTCGAATAAAACATATTTAGTATTAATACAATAATATTCGATATATCAGAATGATTCTAATGAATTCTATAATAATTCTTTCCTTGGAAATTCCACTCAATTCCCTGTTGATCCTTATTAGATTGCATTAAATCGAGATTCAGAAAGACGCATGATTTTGGAACGTAATTAGAAATTTCTTTTTGGCTTGATTAAGGAGAATGTATTAGAGGAAAGCATCCTAAGGGGAAAAGATTTAGAATGAAATTAGTTCTATTTAGTAACACCTCGATATTTCCTTCCTAAGATAAGTTATTAATAAGACTTAACAAACAAAAGTCGTATTAATTGTTCATAAACTACAAATAACCACAACCTTATAATAAGCTACAGAAATTCGTTATTTAAAATCAGTTGGTTTCTATACTTAAGACTATAAGCTATCAGAATATCTCTTTCTGTGTCATCTACGGTTTGTTTGCAGATTCTGTACTTTATACTTGGCGATGGATTAACTACCTCTCGGGCCTTTAGGCCGAGCTTTAGAAAGTTCCTCGTTTCACCTTTTGTTAAATAGAACGAAGTGACACTAAGCTACATTAAATAAGTTAAATAACACATCGTTGTATCAAAGTATCAATTAGACCATTTGTTTTCTTGATTTCTTTTTACTCGCGGTTTCCTTCCTTCCTAGGCTTATTTAGGCCCTAAGCTTACTTAGCCTAATGATTAATCCGTCACTATGTATAACTGTTTATACTGTATATTATTTTCAGAATAAGCATTATAAATTTATTTTATTTCATATATTGAAACAAAAAATAGAAAAAAATAACAGATCTATACTCTAATTGAAAATGTTATTACTTAAAAGTATGAAATTTAATTCACGAATATACAGAAATTTTTATATTTTAAAGAGAAAAATTATGGGATTTCTATGTGTATTTGTCTATTTATCGAATAAATATATACCCTTAACCAATTCTTTTCAATAAAAACCTAATTCTTATTCTAATATTCTAATATTAAAAATATTAAAAAAAACATATTAACAGTCATCAAGATACATAAATATAATATGACTATTCACAAAATAATAGAGACGTTAAATCAAATTAAAAGTATTTTCATATTTCAATATACAAAACTTTTAAAAGAAGTTTTGTATATTGAAGTAGACGAGTGCCTCCAGATAAAGGTTGACTTGACCGTGAGACTCGAGATGTGAAAACGGACGTAATTTATTTTAGTGTTTATTCTATTTTTTGGATTTGAAATATATTTATATTTATAGTATTTTAATCAATAATACGATTATATGGAAATTAGTTATACTGCACTTAATTTTTAGCATTTAAAAAAACTAATTAACAGATTTTACGGTCTTGTAGAAAATTGTAAGTTGAATATTCTGAAGACCGAAATTTTCATATTGAATAATATCAAAATCCGTACATTTTACAATATTCCAAATTGATATTTGATTAAAAGCAATTATAGTTTTGACAAATCTCCGATACGTTGGAAGAATGCATTTATCTTGGCTCTAGACATTTTGCCACCCTAAGCAAACAAAATTGTTTGTCGCTCCTCCCATATTTAAACTCAGATTGACTCAGAAAAATACAATTTCTTTATTTATTTTAAATACAAAACATATGATTTAAAATTTGAATTAAATTTTCTTCATTTTTTTTTATAGAGTTGTTTTTGCGATTTTTCAAAATGTGCAGCTCCAAGCATGCGCTTGCTTTGTTGATGCCTAGAATCAACCCTATCTATGCACAGTTCAAAGAACAACTTATTTTTTAATAGTAAAATCAATAAAATTGAAAATTTTTAAATCTATACTACTTATATGTATATCATTGCACTCGTAATGATTTAATATGTAAGATATATACAGTATTACAAGTTATTCGGTATAGATAACATAGAAGTTAAACCTGCGAATGGCGAGAATTGAACTTCGGATGTTCATCTTGACTTGCATTGTTACAATAGAGTATAAAACATACAAACTGGAAAGATGGATCACGTCTCAAGTTTTAACTTATTTAGGTAAAGAGGAAAATGACGTGTCTAGTCTATGTTATATTAGTGTCTTTAAAGCGTAGACTTTCTATTATAGTTGATAAGTTTATTATTTCAATGATTAATCCAATTTCTCAACCAATAATATTAAAGCCAGTAACAAAATAATTTTAACTTTGAACAGTTTAAATATTTATTAAGTGTATAATCATTTAAAATTTATTTTCAATAAACTTTACCTTTTATCATACTTTTCTAGTTTCAGAAATTTCAATTATTAGAAATATTTGAGACGAAGATTTCCACTTTAAACAAAAATATTATTTCATTATAATGACGGTTTTATAATATTATTAATTATTATCATTTATCCNCCGCATGCCGAAGTTGCCCCGGTCTCCCCTAATTAAGATAAAATATAAAATATTTTTTCCTTTCTTAAATAAACTTAGATCCGCATACATTATTATATTTGATACAAACTTGAAAGCAACAAGTAATTTTTTTACTAAAATTATTCTTTTGGGGATGCTATTGCAATATATTTCCTTAACCCTATTGGCTACACCAACGAAACGAACAATTTTAATCTTGTAAGATTTATTTTTACTATTTACCTATTAAAGAAATTTATTTTTTGTATCATAAAATATCACAAAATACAAACTTTATATACTTATTCAAATTCTTTGTCGTACATTTGTTTTTGATTTCAAACTAAATTTAAATGAAAATTTTTTATTCGTCCATTTGTTTCATAGATTAAACAATATGACTCTATAAAAAAATAGTAGGACCTACATAATTTGTGTCGAATATTTTACGTAACCTAAAGCTTTCAGATTGTCAAAATTAATTTCATACTTTTATATAAAAAAAAATAATTTACATGAAATAATATTTTCCTTATAAAACAAACATTCTGTTGAAGTCTACGTAAATTAATGAAATGTTCTTTTTATATAACGTGTTTCTACATTTCCGTTTTAATCCGTATTCTGCTCTTAAATTATCTATAAAAATAGTTCATATACAGCATGCTGTTTTTAAAGAATGAAAAATATTGTTATTTCCTCCAGAATAAAATGTAAATCCGTCGATTTAAGGAGATAACATATTCTCTCTTTAAAACTACAAACCTTACAAATTAATTAATAGTTTTTTAATTATTGGGCTGCAATTTGGAAAAAAATATAGACCTATAATTCCTATTGTCGTCCGTCTGTCTATCTGTCTGTCCTTAATCTCGAGAACGGAGTTAGATAGATGAAAGCCGCAACCATATATGGAAAGATTACATATCAGAAGGCCCTAATTAATTATATACGAACTTCCAATGCAAACTGGAAGTCATGTTATTTCAATACAAACATTTACCTCCGAAAGGAGTTAGATAGATGACCGATACGACTCTATTGCTAGCAAGAAAGTATGATGTACAGAGGCGAGCCAATACTAATTTGAGGTAGAGAACATATATTTTAAATTAAATACATTTAAAATTCGATTAAAAATTGCAACCCGGCATTGTGGCGATGTCACGATAAATAATCGCTCGTATTAAGTACAATACTTTCGGAAGAAACACGATCATTGATCTTTTTCAGTTAATCCCGGTACACATAAAATTAAACAAGAAATAGGCATAGGTCGAGGTTTATAATTGTCATTGTGGCTTAATTACTTTTAGGTGAAAAATAGAGTTTTCTCTTTGATTAGCATTTTAAAGCCGTAAACCTTATTGTCAAAATCATTTTGTCAACACCGAAGTATTGTTTTACTAGCCTATAAGCCGCTATAAATTCCTTTGTTGTAGATGAATTATTGTTTTTATCGGAGTGAAAATCTCTTACAAGTAAAAAAAATATGTATATGTAAATACAGTATTTAGATTTTGTAGACTATAATTATCAAAGTTTGAATATCATAGTTTACAATAAAGAAACGTCTTGGATAACAGAGACAGTGTTTCTTACTGCGATTGCGTGGTTGTCGGTATATTTATGCATGGCCTTCATCTGTCTCGAACGGAAGAGGCTAAGAAAACAGGCATCGTAGACGTCTTTCGTTTCCGTCGTTTACACGCCATATTTCTTCCGTTATTTGAGAAGCCGTTTTATATCAATGAATAAACTTTCATTTCTTGCCAGCAGATGGCGACACTAATTGGGATGCTACGCAATTATTAGACTATATGTTGGAATTCTAACGGTTTATTGGCTAATCCGTACTTCTGGTTTCTATTAAAGTGTATTGCCATTAAGGCGAAATAATTTCTCTCTCGAAATCGTATCTAAACGAGGTTAAAGTATAAAAGGAATGCTTCTATTCTATTCTTTCCTCGATCGGTTAAATCTGCTTTCAAAAAATCGTCTTCTCCAATTTCTTTCTAATCTGCTCGATCGTTCTTTTCACATTTAATATACTTCGAGATGCCATAAAGATTGGAAATTTCTTTCAGTCTTACAAAGTTTTACGCAATATTCTTTGCGTACATTGTTTACATATCTAATAAACTGCCTCATTTTTTCGACGTAGATCACGATTCGGAAGAAATTTCGGAGCCTGTTATACGTAGAAAACCCGCGGGAATCGATGCCCTCTGCAAGACAACGAAATTCAACCGGAAAGAACTGAAATTTATGTATCAGGGATTCAAGCAGGTGTGTTCGATCACATAAAATTAAGTTGTTTCTACATTTATTCTTCTTAATCTTGGTTTTTCCATCTTTAAAGGCTTGTCCGACCGGCATCGTTAACGAAAGCACTCTGAAGGATATTTACGCTCAGTTCTTTCCTCAAGGAGGTAAGGGAATCCTCAAGGAAGGCTCCTTTTCGTTGCTTCCTAAGGTCCGACTTCCCGCTCCTTCTCTTTCCAGACGCAAGTCAGTACGCCCATTACGTCTTCAAGGCTTTCGATCAAGACCGAAACGGAACGATAACATTTCAGGTGAGCGACCTTTCGACTTGCATTTAATAACGGTAATTAGTGCGGACGTTTAAAACACGCGAACTTTCTATAACATTATTATACTACCAGATCTGGTTTCTTCCTAGGATTTTGTCGTCGGACTTTCGACCCTTTTGCGTGGTACGACCGTCGAGAAACTTCAGTGGGTATTCCATTTATACGACTTGGACGGAGACGGCATTATCACTAAAGAAGAAATGGCTCACATCATCGAATCCATACATAATCTGATGGGCGAATATGCCGCACCGTCCATCGACGGTGAATCTACTCGAAGCCACGCCGAACGGGTATTTCAGGTTTGTGATTTTTAAAAAATGTAACTTGGATAATTACATTTATAATCGTTTAGTTAATTAATACAAAATTTGTATGCAAAACTAATTTCTTGGAAATTTCAGAAGTTAGATTTAAACAAAGACGGCGTGGTCACTCGAGATATGTTTGTGGAGACTTGTTTAAAGGTACAACTGATAACGGGATAATATTATTTGACTTATAAGTTACTTTTTAATCTGTTTTTAAAATATTTCTACGCAGGATGATAACATTTTGAAATCTCTCCAGTTACTGGACACCGTGCTGTGAACGGAAGTTGCGAAGATAAAAGAAACTGTTTCTATCCACGATGTCGACTAGCCACTCTCCCGTACGATCCAATTTGTGGCTCTGCGTACCTGTTACTATCTCCGTCTAAATTCCTTTTTGGTGTGCGTTGCGTCAGACGGTCCACGTGCGCTCACTCGTTCCTCTTCTTCTATTAATTCTGGACCGAGACACTCCAACGAATGGATAACTGTGATGTCCCTTTACGGTCTTAAAATCTACCATCCGATCGGAAAAATAAAGAATTATTTATGTTTTGACGAGGTTTTGATTTTAATGGGAAGAGTTCTTTTTATACGAGTTTATCTTAAACAAATATCGTAAAAGTCGCTATATTTTTACAATTAATCAAAATTTTATCTTTCGGATATTTTTGTATATTTTATAGAAGAAAAATATGCTTCTAAAATGTTTTTCTTTTAAGACAAATTTACACTTTATTTAGTAAATCGTAAAAACCGTCGTGTAAATAACGCAAAATTAAGTTCTTTTGTTCGAATTTTTAAAGTATAAAACGATAATCAAAATAAGGCATTCTCTCTACATTCGTAAACAGTTAGTTCTTCAGTTTAATTAATATTAATTTGTAAAATGATAATTCGTAAATGATAAACATTTGCAAATGCATCTCGGAAATAGAAGTTATATCGGTTTTCGGTTTGTCCAGTATTAGATAAAGGAAGACAAACAGATTATTAATAAAATAAAACTTTTATAAATAATTAATTTGGTAATAATTCATACTAAAAAAAACTATAGGCTTATCTGGAGATTTTTTAGAGCTTGAGTCCACAGTATAAATTACTTTAACCAAACGTAGTTTTCGGCACTTTTTTTTATTTATTTAAGCTTTCTTCTTATCGAATGCCATCAAAAACTGCTTATAAAAGTTTTAAAAGTTTTTGTTTTATATTAATTTACGCGCTCGTTAATTTTTTTGTTATACTAAAATGGTGACGCAAACATTAATATAATAAGTAAATTATAACTAGTAAAAATTAATGAATATGAGAGCGTATGTATATGTTAATATCGTAGCTATCTGCCGTAGTTAAATATTTGTTATTATTGTGTATTTTTATAAAGTATAAAGTATAAAAGCTTCCTTTAAAAAAAAATATATATATATATACAGCAGANTATATAGGCCTATATATGGATATATTTACACGCATATATTTTTGTTTAATGACTTACTGTTGAATCTAAAAGTTTATCAAATGAATTATGTCAGACTGTTAACTTGACTAATAACAATTAGTCTTAATTCATTTTTTGTTGTTATAATAAATTCGTTTCAAAAATAATTTTATGCTTTTAAAATTGTTTCCACTTCAGATAATTTTTCTACGTGATTACGAATCTATAATTTGGTAAGCCTCAAATGCTGTCCAGCATCGTTGGAGAGAACGGCCGAGAGTACAAACTTGGTCCAGGTATCAGATTAAAACTCTTGCCCAGTAACGGTGCCCCCGAAGAGAGATTTGAGAAATGTGCAGTGGTTCAGGCGTGGCAGAGAGTCAAACTTACTATGTTAAGTCTACGGGGACAAACATGTCGGGCACTCGCGTTTCATCTAGCGATTAATTAATTATTTATTTATATTTAACCGTTAGAACAACCCATTGCTCTATCTCATGTTCTGAATTCCTGTTTTTTTTTAATTAAAAGACTTTTTGCATTAGGCCTATTTTTATAACATTAATAAATTTAAATACTTACGCTATATATTTAAATAATAGAATATATTAAGAATCATTTTATTTTTGAACTAAACTATTTTAATTTATTTAGAATTTGCGTATTTATTAGTAAAATAAATGCATGAGCTCATTGATTGTATTTTAATTGAATAAAACCATGGATTTCGACTGGTTTCTGCTAGTAATAAAAATTAATTTAGAATTTCATCACATCATTCGTATTATGTATATAATATAATAATACTATTATTCTTTCGTGACAGAGAAAGGATAAAATTATGAACGATTATGAACAAGTATTAAGTACCAGATCCATATTCTACTAACTTGTAAGTCTAATTAGTCAGAGTTGATATTTAATATCGACACCAACTAATTAGTCGAATGCATACGTGGATATTTTACAACGAATAAATTATTTATTAAACCAATAAATCGAACAAATGATTTATTTGAAATAATAAAGAATATTTGAATTCTTTATAAGTTAAATTTGGAATTTTCATATGAAATTGCTTTCGTTTAGAGACATCAAATGCATTTTGCATGAATTAGAACAAACACTACACGTATCTAAAATAAATAAATAGTTACATAAATAGGGCATTATAATAAAATTGAACAAAAATAAATCCTCTAGAATAATTTAATTTTGTATTTATAAAAATAAATGAAAAATTATTAAGGAATTCTACAATTTCTAATTTAATTGCGTAGATTTAAATGCAGGAAAGAGCATCGACATTGCAAAGATGATAAATATCCAACAAACGAACGAAATGTGAAAATTAAAAGCACAAAAAAAATTAAGTGTATTACAGACAGGCATATTTACTAGTATGCTATATGACAACGATACACTGGTGATAACAGGTTTGAAAGAAGGATATTTGAGAAAAACAGTTATAGGAAGAATTTAGAAATATGACATACACAGAAAAAATATACATTACGATACATATAGCCTGCTACAATACATAGCCAAAAAAAAGCCTGCTGCAGAAGATAATAAAGTGAATCACTATTTGGAGATATCTATAAAATGAATGATCAGCGAAAGATTTAAGATTTCGCATTTGACATTATAAATGGAAAAAATACAAAACCAAAACTTCGCGGAGTGCGGCTAAACGACGTATAAGAATAGTGCAGAGCCAAATTATGACTGATTCACCACGAAAAGAACGGGAAGCTACGGAAAGAAATTGTAAAAAAAGAAAAAAAATCAAAATCAGACATCAATGAGCTCAAAGTTATCGATGATGATACGCATCGTAGCAATGTTGATAAATATTTCCACTTGGACAAGAATAGTTGGGTATAAATTTAATAAGAGTACGCTTTTATGTCATTATTTATAAAAATTTACTTTTTTTAATGCTTTGTTACTATTAATACTTTCCCTTTTTTATTTGGAAGAATACTACGAATTAAAAAGAAAACAGAGTCATAATTTCGTCAAAAAATTATTCTGAGCCTGTTATATTGTTATCATGAAAGACATCAACGAGACTTTAAATAATAATTTTTAATACTCGTACAATAAAACTTTTCGCTTCAAAAAATTATATTTGAACAAATAAAAGATAACATTCATATGAATCAATTTATCTGCATTTTTTTTATTTTTCTATTATAATTACGTTTGATAATGGAAAGTGGAAAATTTAGTATAACCTCGCACTAAATAATATATGATTTTTATTATATATCTGTATAGAACGAGCACTAAAAATACTTTTATGAAAAATTTAAAATATGTATAAATTATTTTCGTTCTATACGTTATTGAATTCTTTCTATCAAAACTTTTTTGTGCGCGTAGATTCTTTATATTAAATATTGCAACGAATTGTCGGTCCGTAAAGCTGTGTTTCCTATAAAACATAATGAAAGATAGGGAAAGCCAATGCAATGTGCTCGAACTTTTCTTTAGATAAAATCTGTTTCCGCCGGATTTAAAATTTCGATGATAAACGATAAAATGTTACGTAATGAAGAAAAATTTCTCTACAACAAAAATCAAATTTGATAGATAAAGCTTAGATTTTAGTTTGCTTGATAAAGTCATATTTTTATGTTTAAAATCGCCTAAAATTCTTAAAAACTGTCCATTAAAAAGTAAATTTGAAATTTATAAATATTTTTTAAATATAATTATTTTTCGAACTTAATAATGTTTAGAAATTTTTAACCAGTTTCGTTAAAAATATCTCATTAGAAAATAATTATTTAAATATAAAAGTACAAAGGATTACAAATGATTTTATATAATTTAAAATCCTGGAAAAAAAATAATAATTATTATTATTTATATAATTAAGAAAAACATTTAGTTTTTAAATTTATTTTTAATAAACATAAATTTATAGAAGTAACTTTAAAATTCATTTTATTCCAGACTATTTAGTCTTAAATTTAATACTTTTCTAAATTGCAAACAATTAAGATAGAAAGTAGCCGTTTACATCGACATACCTGATAAATTTGCAATCAATATAATCTCTGTCCACTACAAAGCAATAAAGTGCCAATTAGGAAACCGTATTCAAATAAATTTTACATAAAATTTAGGGTATTATCAAACTTTGCTACAATTTAAAGTTCTTATTGAAATGTCGAGTTTGTACTTTTTAAACAATTCTCATTAATATATATATATATATATATATATATATTTTAATTTAGAATCAATATAGTTTATTCGAGTCATTTTGATTTTATAAATGTGCATACGTTTAATATTAAATTCTTTTGCACAAAGAATTTGTGCAAAAGAATTGAATATTAAATTACGGTCTAACCTGCGATAAAGGCAACCTTCCAACAATGGTCACTTCTAAATGGCGGCCATTTTTTCACGAACTTCTTTTTCTTTTAACGAGAAATACGTACAGAATAATTTCCTTAAAGATCCTTAAAGTATTAACTCTCGCATCTTCATTTTTCGAAATTTTAAATTTATTCAATTTATATTTTATCTTTAAAATACTTTACGAATACTTCTTTATGTGAAATAATAATACTGTACTCAAATAATAAATTATGAGCTTATATCAAATGAAATTACAGTAATTTATTTATAGTAAGACGTGTTCAATGTTTTATATACTAAAACTCAAGAAGATTAAACTGATTCTAAAACAAATGAAATTCAATTTTGAATTGGTTTTCATTGCTATTTCTGAAACAGGATTTACCAGAAAATACCGAAGTGGATTTTTTAAAAATTAACTGAAAAACCATTCAATTTTAATATAACTTAAATTAAATTCGGTCTATTTTATGTGGATTTTATAGCCATTTAATTTTTTTTCTTATATTAGATTAAGCACTTCAACTAATGTAAGCTAAAATAAAATTTATTCTAGAATACTTTATATATGTATATATATAATTAAATACTAAGATTTGATAAAATTTTAAATTGATTTATATTGAACAAACAGATTTTATACTAGTTGGAATCTTTTAATTTCAGTTCGCGTGACCACGCAGAAGAAAAATCAATATTTGAGATATCGAATATTATGATTTTCAACCACCAAATGATTAAGGTTATATGGAATTATATAAACTAGAAGTTGTTTAATGATATTTCGCACGATTTTACTTATTTTGTTTTTTAGTTCTTTATCGGTAATTGATGTTTCAGTCTTATAATTTCGATATTAATTTTGTGATATTTTTAACAAATGTAATTATATTAAACTACAAAACTATAAAATTCTTCTTAAACTTGTTTTTGTGATTTGGCAAGTTACTATGACAAAGAAAAAGGTAAATGTCGGATAAAAAGAATGATTGTTTTCCAGACACATATTGATAAAGATTGAAGATTTACGAAAGAATTAATGTCTTCGTACATTGTGATTTACTAGCAAACCGTAAGTGCAGATAAATTTTTGGGCCGCGAATCTCGCACTTGTCTTAATTCACTCTTATATGAGAATTTGATTGATGATAAAGCAATGCTTCTTATATAATTCATTTTATTACTTTTAATTGTCTTTATCATTCTTAATGCGAGTGTTAATTACTTATTTTGCTAAATTTATGTGATAAACTCATTCTTGATTTCCAGTTGTATTCCGACGCAAAAGTAACAGTATTTTAAATCGTTCGTTGCATCGTTCCGTAGAAAATAAAACAATCGATAGATGAGATATTTACGTAAACAATAGTAAAATCCATAAAATGCTTCGAGTGAGGAATAGGCGGACATTTCGAGACACTACAATGTGAAACGCTCCTCCTCTTTGGACTCAACAGTAATTAAACATTCAAAGACATTAGAAACGAGTTCGTTTCGATAGGAAATCGTTGATTTTCTAACTCATTTACAAAGTTTGGAATGGTTTCTCCTTTCTTTGATTTAATGGAAATAGATACTGTTGAACGAATTACGAGGTACAGGTTTGCTTTCAGAAAAGTACTGTACTTGATGAAATTCGGCTACGTTCTTTACTTAAATTACATTCTTAAATTAATTATGATTAAATTTTTATTTAAAAATTTGTAAAAAACCCGTATATTCAGTTTTCACACACACACACATAGACTATAAATAAATAAATATATATAAATCACCTGTTTCGTGTTACTTATGTCAGACTGTTACTGACATAAGTAACACGAATTCCATCTGAGTTTAGGCGTTACTCGGAAATTATTTTCGTAGTATGCAAGAAGTTTCAGAAATAGCAGTTTCTTGTATATATATTTGTTATTATCTTTCGAAAAATTTTTATAAGTAATTTATGATTTTTTATGACGTTTTTACTTCATGATATACGAAAAAATTTTTGAAAATTATGTAAAACTTACATTTCATTTAAGTTTTTGTAAGCAATCGATATTCTAACCATTTTATAAAGAACTTAGTGATATTCGAATACTTAATAGTATTCGAAAAATATTAAATGAATATTGAATTGTAGAACATGCGAGTCACTTGAAAATTGCGTCAATTTCTAATGTTTAAACGGTAACATTACACAATTTCTAACATTTCCAAAATACAATCAAACCTCCGAACGACGACCAATGACGAAGACATAAAAAATGGCTGTCGTTCGGTACTGCACAGTTTGGAAACTTATTTTGCATACATTTTTGTTCAAAAAACATTTCCGAAAAAATAGTCGCTGTTTAGATTAGTTATCGCAGGTTTGTCTATATATATATATAATATTAAACAGTCGGGGGGAAAGCATACAAGAAATAAAAAACTCTTCGCATTATATCTATTTCTTCAAAACTTTTAAACACGAGACGTCTAGAATAAGCAGCTCTCAATTTCAAAATAAAAAATAATTTAAAAAGTATGGCTTCTTAAATGTAAATTTTTAAGTTTTCCCCGATAACTCCGCCATCAAAGATTTTTAAAATAAAATTTTGATTTCTGATTCAATCTGACCATTAAACTAGTTTTTAAAAATAAACATTACTCGTTAAAATTTACATTAATATTAAACACGATTATTAAAAGTATTCATAATTGCAATTATGTAATGTCGAGTGAATAACTATAGTCTTTCTCGGATTAGAATACGCTCGATGCTCATCAGGAAAATAATTTCGTGTTCGTTAAAAATGAGAACATGCATTAAAAATTATAATATAATAATCTATTCGATATTTTTCACAATTTAGTGAGAAATTTGAATAAATGCAATAATATTTTTCAAGATCTTTTCCAGAATAATATTATTGCATTACATTCAATTAGTGTAGGCCTAAATGTTTATTTTACGTGTTGTACTGAAATTAAGTCGAAAAGTAGAATTTTGTGGCCAAATAATCGAAAATTATGTATTATTATAACAAATTAAAGAAAATGAAATACGATAAATTATTTTAAAAAAGATTAAAAAACGAATTTATTTTTTATTTTCTTTTTCAAATATTATTTTTTATTTTTCATTTTTTATACCTCGATTCGTTTTATTTTTAATGACTATTCATATACATGCAAGTACCGTTATAAAATTTTAATCATAAAATGATTTTTTTTTATTCTTTCATTTTCTGTGTTTATAATAATTACGTGTACTTCTTAAATTAAAACGAATAACTTTGTAATTAATGACTTATATTATTAAAATGAATAACTTATGTATTAACTTACTGTTTTCTTCAATTTATTTTACATTTCTAAGAAACTGTTATCAATAATTTAAATAAATATTTTATTATTATATTATTAATAATTGATGCGCTTATAACGAACGGAAAAGCTTGTGCCTCCATCTGTTGTCACGATACGAAAATAATTTCATTTAATTTATTTTAAAAAAATGAAGAAACAAACTAGTTTCTAATAAAGAAAAAAATAAAAGAAAAATACATTTCTATAAAATTTTTCTTAAGATTTATAAAAGCCGCCAAAAAATTAATATACGTTTTTCATTCTTAAATTTTCAATTATTTGGATTTTAGAATTTTTGGCCTTGTCTTTTAGTTAATATTACGACTCGAAGGAAAAATTAGAAATACATTTTTTTAAAATCTTTTAGCCAAAATAATAAATAGAGCATTAAATACTTTTTCCCGTTTTAAGACTAAGAGATTATTTTAGTGACGTTGCTAGATATTTGGAGGCTTTAATCCAATTATGTTGCTTTAGCGATTGAAACGACCTCCTTATTTAATCATTACGGGCCGTCGAACGAAGGAGAAAAGACGAGAAAAAATATATTTTAAACATTTATATTAAGTGCTTTATTACTTCGTTTACTGAATATTCGTTATTTATATCTACAGGTAAGATTATTGAATAATTTAATGCCATAGCATTTCTTTTTTTATTGAAAAAAATCGGATTTCTAATAATATTTGTGATTTATTTTTTATTTTATTTTTAAAAATATCGAAACCTAATGTATAAAATACATTTAAACTTTCCTTCTATATATATTATTTTTTAAAGATAACTTTGATAATTAATTAAATCGTGAAAAATTCCTTTCTTCCGAGATCAAAGATTAAAATTTAATTATACGCATTGAATTTTATTATTTGTGAAAAATGTTTAAAACGTGAATCCTAATAATTGAAAGATCGCGATAGTATAAAATAAATTAATGAGATGAAATATAAATAATTAATTATAATACAGTATATTGCATTCTCGTGTAATATATTATAATAAATATATTACGTTAGTTTTATATACAAGATTATGTTATCTTAGAAAAACTGATAAAATCTATTCTAGTTAACTTCTGTAGTGTTTAGTTTACACACCGCTAAAATTATATAATAATTGCTTTTGCAGTTTTTTTAGTGTTGGAAAAGCAGAAACAAGATTATAAGAGTTATTCTCTTTTTTAAATTTAGTTAAATATGGCATATATTCGGGCTTTCGGTTTCCTTACGAATTAAAAATATTATGTAATTTCTATGAAAATTTTTGTAATTAATGTCATTACAATAAAAACGTAATTCATAATTTATCTTCTTAATGACGTTAAAAATGTAGTAATTATAACTATTTTACAAATCGTTTAAATTATTAAGCAATAATAAATGATTATTCATTTTTATATAGAATTATTTATTGTGGAGACAATAATTACTGTTTTAATAAAAATATTTTCATATTACAAAACCTTAAAAATGCTATTTTGTATTATTTGATTTGTATTATCTTCTTATTATCGTTTCAAGTTTCCAACTTAATTATTATATTTCTTCGAATCTAAAATAAAATTNTAGTTAATATTACGACTCGAAGGAAAAATTAGAAATACATTTTTTTAAAATCTTTTAGCCAAAATAATAAATAGAGCATTAAATACTTTTTCCCGTTTTAAGACTAAGAGATTATTTTAGTGACGTTGCTAGATATTTGGAGGCTTTAATCCAATTATGTTGCTTTAGCGATTGAAACGACCTCCTTATTTAATCATTACGGGCCGTCGAACGAAGGAGAAAAGACGAGAAAAAATATATTTTAAACATTTATATTAAGTGCTTTATTACTTCGTTTACTGAATATTCGTTATTTATATCTACAGGTAAGATTATTGAATAATTTAATGCCATAGCATTTCTTTTTTTATTGAAAAAAATCGGATTTCTAATAATATTTGTGATTTATTTTTTATTTTATTTTTAAAAATATCGAAACCTAATGTATAAAATACATTTAAACTTTCCTTCTATATATATTATTTTTTAAAGATAACTTTGATAATTAATTAAATCGTGAAAAATTCCTTTCTTCCGAGATCAAAGATTAAAATTTAATTATACGCATTGAATTTTATTATTTGTGAAAAATGTTTAAAACGTGAATCCTAATAATTGAAAGATCGCGATAGTATAAAATAAATTAATGAGATGAAATATAAATAATTAATTATAATACAGTATATTGCATTCTCGTGTAATATATTATAATAAATATATTACGTTAGTTTTATATACAAGATTATGTTATCTTAGAAAAACTGATAAAATCTATTCTAGTTAACTTCTGTAGTGTTTAGTTTACACACCGCTAAAATTATATAATAATTGCTTTTGCAGTTTTTTTAGTGTTGGAAAAGCAGAAACAAGATTATAAGAGTTATTCTCTTTTTTAAATTTAGTTAAATATGGCGTATATTCGGGCTTTCGGTTTCCTTACGAATTAAAAATATTATGTAATTTCTATGAAAATTTTTGTAATTAATGTCATTACAATAAAAACGTAATTCATAATTTATCTTCTTAATGACGTTAAAAATGTAGTAATTATAACTATTTTACAAATCGTTTAAATTATTAAGCAATAATAAATGATTATTCATTTTTATATAGAATTATTTATTGTGGAGACAATAATTACTGTTTTAATAAAAATATTTTCATATTACAAAACCTTAAAAATGCTATTTTGTATTATTTGATTTGTATTATCTTCTTATTATCGTTTCAAGTTTCCAACTTAATTATTATATTTCTTCGAATCTAAAATAAAATTGCATGATTTTTACGTAGGCAAGAAAAATAATAAATAAAAATTAAAAAATTCCAGTGTAATTACTAAATTTCTGCTACGAGAGCATGTATTATTAATGTAAAATAATAATTTTAAAAATTTTAAAAGTAGAGAAATAGTTTACCTAATGTACAGTATAGTACAGTACACTTAAATAGTTCGAGAGGAAAATATGGCATGAAAGATAAAAATAAAAAAAATCACTGTCACTCCCGTGTTCGGTTCAGTGATAATGATCAACCCACTGCATTATTTACAAAATAGTTACGATTATTACTCTCGTTTCCTTTCAAACATATCAGTTATTTTAATATTTAAAAAAAAAGTAGATTTTCTGTCTCCTCGTCGTCGTCTCTTACATTGTCAATGTTTTTTGGGTTGATTTATAATATCTTTTATAGGTTACTTTCTATGAAAATTGTGATTTAATAACTAAATATAAAAAAATTTATATAAATAGGTCAATCGTGAAAAATTTTTTTCTATAAACTAGTTTTCTAAATTCATTGGTAATAATTAAGTGCCGTTTGCACCTTTCGACAAGAACCACTGACATATAATTCTATGCTCTATAATCTCAAATGCTAAACTTTTCAATGTTCTTAATAAATATTTAGTTTTTAAAAATCAATAATTTTTATAGATAAACTGTAAAATATCAAATATTTTTTTGTTATCTTCAGATTAGTTATAACCTACCGCTCTATTACTTATTATCTGACCTTGTACGAAACCTCACGGATTAACAAGTTCTATTATTAAGTTAAATGATAGAGGTTACGTGTTGCTAAGTATCGGTGATTGTAAAATGTCATTGTTTGTTACGTACAGTATAAGAATTTTTGTCGTTCGAGTTGGATACACTCGGTATTACAAGTAGTTACACAATTCGATGTAACTCGACCAATGACGTCACGTTTCCTATTAATTTAATAAAAAATAAATTTCTGTCTACTTGTCGTCGACCCTAACATTGGAGATGTTTTTTGGGTCGATATAATTGATTTTTTCGTTGTTTGATTGTTAGAAAGGATTCTGTTGTTGCCTTTTATCTTCGGCCATTTTACGCCGTATAAATACTATTTATAATGCATTTTCGAACATTAATGCCCATCAGAATATTCAAATACAGATAGGAAACACTAGTAATACCTTATAAAAATAAAGTAAACTTCATTTTTTATTAAAAAGTAATAAAAAGTTATTAGTAATCGTCGAAAACATAAATTAAAGTAATTAAGTCGGAGATAATTTAATTTAATATAACTCGTCGAAATAGTATTAGAGGCGCATCTGGTGGAAACAATACACGGATAAAAAAATTGTAGTAGCTCGTAACTAATGAAAATTATTAAAATTTATTTTAGCACTCTGAAAGCTCGGATTCAGGAAAATACGAATCCGATTAATCTATTAATTAATTATTAAAATACTTGCGTGAAGTGCGGAGTGCGCATAATAGTAATGTTGGAAAAGAAAGAAAATTAAATCATTTAAATAATGAAATATCGACTGCGCAATTACAGTAAATAATCCACAGTCGATGGTCGTTCGTTTTCTTTTCGTTTTTTTCCGTTTCTGTTCGACGTTTTATTGCGATTTTCGGTTCGTTTACCGTTTATTCGGTTTGTCCTCGTGGTCGAATTCTGATTAAAAATCGATAAAGGTGTTAAAGCTGGACGTTTACATTAACTGCTTTATAGTAAAACTTTTTAAATTAATAATGAATATTTGTGAGAAAAATTCGAAATTTTGATGCTGAAAATAGTCAAATGAAGTTGGATGTTGAATATATAATCTGACATAATATAAATATTTTCTATGTGAAATCACAATTATCAAAATATCAGGAATATTTTCTAAATGAATATCATTTAGTTAACCATCTGTCAATGCTGTATAAATCCTATTCGTTCCTATATATATTTATTACGTGACGAATTAAATATAGTACTTTATATAAAACTAGTAATAATAAGCAAAGGAATAGAGTCGACCACATTAATTTCGCATAAAATATGTTTTTTAAATAAAATTAATACTATATAAAGTCATTATAAAACAGTGAAAATGTCATTATAATTGAAGATACTAATTTAAAAACGAATTAAATATTTTTTTATAATAAACGTGTATTATATTTCTTCTAATTGATTATATAATTTTATATCTCTCTTACATATTTTACATATTACAAAAATACAAATAAATGATAAAATATGAATTATTTATGAGATATATTTTTTGATTGTTATAATTAAATTTTTACTTAATTTATGTTATATAAAACCAAGTATTAGCTACAAAAATAAAATCAAAAAATTATAAAATGTGCAAAATGTATCGACCTTATCAATTGATGTTTTTGAACTCGCAACGTGGATAGCCTATAAATCATTATATTAATAGAAATTACTTTTGTTTTTTCATACGAAATGGCTTATCTGACTTATAAAAATATTTTTTTAAGACTCGATAATCGCGGAAACTTCACAAATTTATACTTTACTCGAAATATCAAAGATCAATCGATTGTGTAAATATCATATTACTGTTTATCGTTTTTAATTCTAACTTCTAGTTATATATGGATTTATCTATTTTAGATTAAATTAATAAAAGTGAAATTAGATAAAATAAAAAGTTCGTATCATTCTTTATAATGATTATTTATTATATTACAGTATAATTCATCCGTTTCAAACGCACTATTAAGATGGGTGACTTGTCAAATTTTATGTTAACTACATTATAATCTTTCATCTCAAAAATATGAAGGAAATTTATATATATATATATATATATATATATATAAAATTTTGTTTAAAATTACAAAAGTTAATCAAAATGCTTACAAAATTTTATCATTATTAAAAATGATAAAATTTTGTAAGCATTTTGATTTAAAATAATTATTATTAAGACTAAAATTAGTACGATAATATTTCTCTAATATTTAAAAAAATATATTATTGAAATTCCGAAAATACAGACTATAAAGATTATATTATTTATATAAAATAATAAATAATTTCTTAAAAGTTAAGTATAATATTATTTTTCTCCTGTTATTTATCATTTCGAAGAAAAGGAAAAAAAAAACAAAAAAGTAATAAATAATAATAGTTCATTTACTATAATATATTCTACCAGGTGGCGCCCAGTCGCTTCGGCTTTAGCGTGGAGATTGATGAGTGGAGTGAGGAGACGTGTTTGGTGAATAAGCGCTCGTCAAGCAGAAAGCTCGGCAGGTTCGAGCGTATTAATATAATATATACGGTAAGATGTCTTGTGCTTAAGAGATTGTTAATTATTACTTTACAGGTAATCTGTTTTAACTAAATTGTGGAAAATGTATGTCGCGTGTCAGACATGCCGATCGTCTTTATTCTGTCAAAACTGTTTTTATCTTTTAGCATTGTCATTCGTATTTATTACGTTAGAAACGGAATAGTTTTCATTTTTTTAAATTATAAGGTAACTTAATCAACGAATAAAATTAATGAGTTGTCCAGTTTATATATATATGATTATTTTTTTAAATTTATTTTTTAATTGTATGTTTACTGGAGGATACATTAGTACAGAGTATTCACTCCTTAGTTTTATGAATTAACTTCGGCTAAAGAAACGTGAGTATGGTACTATAGACAATGGTGATAGAAAAAGTTGCTACATTAAATCGGTACATTTCCACCCGTCACTTGAAGTGGCATGTACAATATACAATCTGTACTTGATTTCGGCCTGTGTCTGAGCCAGAGACGTGTTAATGGAATTCTGTTCTTCTATGCAGGGTTCTTACATCTGGCATTTTTGGGGTGTATATGCAATCCTTGATGTAGCCATAAAAAAGTTAAAAGGTGTGACATCTGGTGATTGGGCAGATTGAGGAATAAGATTGCATTGATCCAGCTGGTGACCTAGGTCTGGATTGCTGCCACGCGATGGAAGCGGCCCTTTTGAGAATATGCATGAAAAACTGAAAGTATTGACCGTGAAAAATATTCATTTGTTTACAAACTAACCGAAAAATAATTCAACTGTTACAGAATTTTATATTTTTGTCTTATTCATTTAAAGTTTATAATTATTGTAGTATGCTGTATTCACATATTATGTATGCAAAGGAATTTTATTGTAAGTATAAAGTAACAAAAGTATAAAGCATGTCATTGATAAATGTAATAATAAAAAAAGTATCTTTAAGTCTGGGCAACTTAGGAAAGACACAGAATATTGATTAAAATTTTCTTTACTTTGATCAGATTGTAAATTAGTAGAAAGTGTTCTAACCAAAAGTACTAAGTATTAAAAATAACTTATAAATATAGATTTTACTTATTCTATAAGCTATAAGCTATTTTTAATATTAATAGTATGTATGCATGCATGTAAGAAAAAGAAAATTGAATTAATTAGTAATGTTTTTTAATTGATCGATTTTACTTACTACAATAAAAATATTTTTTAAAATTAAAAACATCAAAGCTTTTTCAAAATTTTTCTCTAATCAATAGAACAAAAATTTATTATGTAAAAAAAGCATACTTATTTCAATAGGAAATGAAAAAGTAAATTATGCAATATTTATAAAAGTAATTTTTGAAATATATCATTAATCTAGAAATTTTATTTTAAGAAATATGCTACTAAAACTGAAATTTTCAGAATGCTGGAAAAATACCAAAAAAATTATTCAAAAATTTATTACAGTTGTGTTTATATTTTCAGATAAATGTGATATATAATAATAGTATTTATAATGGCTGTGATTGCTCCTACTTCTACTGACAAAACTAATATGGTTAATGGATTTAGTGATTTTGATGTAGAAGAATTACTTTTTAAAGTTTTAGTTATTGGAGATTTTGGTGTTGGTAAGTGAAATCTGTTTACTAGTTTTTATTTATTTATTTTTTTTTAATAAATATTTTAAATTGCTTTTCATTTTATTGAAATCTTATTTTAAAAATTAAAAATGTTTTAAAAATTTATTAGATGCTTTTTCACATTAATGAAAACTATTCAAATAAACATACTTTATAAAATATCTAATTACTTTTAACTATTTTTTAGAAAAGTAGAAATGATTTAAACCAGTGTTTTAAAATTTATGCTGATAAACAGATGTATGCTGTACTTAGTACAAACTACTTTACATTAGATATTCTAAAGTTTGCTCAAAAAGATCTAAAAACATTTTACAAACAAAATTAAATATTTGGTATCTTTAACAAACAAAATTCATAGATATATTTAAATATCGTGCCAAGTTTTACTGATTATAATAAAGTTTTTATTTATTAAAAAATCAAAATTTAAATTTACTTACTCCTTTTTTTTAAAAACATGATTTTACAAATTCTTAAAAATAAACTTCTTTAGGAGCTTATCTGCAAGTTTGCAAAATCAAGTTTATAAATAAAAGCAGGAGTAAATAAATTTAATTTTGATAATCTTTAAAAATTTAAAATATGTTTTCATAATGAGTCAAAACTATAGTTGATCATAACTTACTTATATTACTGAATTGTTTGAAATATTAATTAAGAGGCAAATGGTGACTGATGGTTTTAAACACTCGTTGCTTAATACTTCATACTTATCAGATCAGATTAAATCAGATGGCAGAAAGTTGAATCACTTCCCCACACATTGGCAGCATAATCATTACCCAACAGTTATCTTTTTCTATTCTTTAATAGTTTAGTAATATATTATAGATCTGTCTTATATCCTAGTTCTATAAAGGATTAAAGATTAATTGATGAAAAAATAACTTTATCGTTTTTGAGGAAGTGAGATATTTTAATAAGGATTCTTTTCATAGTATTGGTGATAACTAATCAATTATTAACAAGATTGATGATGATTATATGCTTTAACTATGTTTGCATCAAAACAAAATAATTACAATACACTCATATCACTATTTTCATGTTTGTTCTAACATTTTAAGATAAGTTTGGTTTTATATTGTTAATTGACAATTTTTTATAGGTTAAAAAATTATACAGAAGAAAAAGTTAAAGAAATAATTTCAATTTACATTAAATAACATAATTAAATTATAGAAAAAATATTAATGATGCTTTAAATATTGAAGATCACTTTCTTCAGTTTTCTAGAAAATTGTTATATAGTATTTTGGCAAAGACCCTGTCCATAGATTCATAATTCCTGTTCTCAGTCTTGATATTTCCAATTAGGCATTCTTATGATATAAATAAAACTAAGTTTTTAATCATATTAAATTATATATTTCTCTTTCCTGTTGTAAATTATCATAGCCTTCTGTTATCTCATCAAAATTTGAAACTTCATAAACTTTTGCCTGAATAACTCAATTTATAATGAAGAGGGATGTAGTGTAACTATGACTTTAAAAAAATTTTCAATTAGTATGAGAACTTGATGATTTCACATATATTAAATGTAATTGCTATACTTAATAATTATCCATCAAATTTGATCTGACTCTGATAATTAATAATCTATTAAAAATGACACAACCTTATTATTTTGAAGAATGAGTAAAAGTTTGTTTATTTTTCAGTACTGTAATTTCATTTTTATTTTGCTTATTTACTGTTATAGAGATTTTTTTTTTACAAATTAAAGACAAAGTCGCTCTAAAAATATATATTTCAGACGATTACCATTTTTACAATGTTCTAGAACAAAGTACAGACAGCTGGACCTTCCTTTTTAGGCTACACAACTGCCTATATTTATAAAGTTCCTTAAAAACACAAAAAAACCAATAAATATTAAGAAAATTCTTCTTTAAAATTGGAATGGTAAATCTTACGTCATCTTGTTAGTTCATCCTTGTCCATTTGGGTTTCTGGCTCCTTTTATCTACTGTTATAGAGATATTAAAAATTTTTTCTTGTTAAATATTTTTAGAGTTTTCTTGAATTTTGAAACTAATAATTGTTTTTATCATTACTGTATAAAATTTAAGTTAGAGGATATTCAAATAGGTATAGCAGTCTTGATAAAACTTATTTGCTTATGTTTTCAATTAAGATGAAAGTCATTGACTAGCTAATTACAAAACTAATAAAAATTAAAACACATTTTATTAAAACAGTAGTTTGATTTGCTTTAATGTCCATTACTGTATTTTAAAAATGTTAAATTGCAATACTTGCATGTTAAATCGTATAGTTTTTAATATTTTAAAATTACATAATCAAGTTGTTTAAAGTAAAAAAATGTAATTTTTTTATAAATATGATGATAGTCTATAGTAAGTAAATATTTTGTTTTGATATATTTGTTTCATAAAGGAAAAACAGCAATTATAAGAAGATATACAGAAGGTAAGAAAATTTTAATTATAATTTTCATATTCTGTTACATTTTAATGTATCTTAAAAGAAGGAAAAATATCTTGTAAAAAAGTACAAGTTTTATATTTCTTTTAAAACTGTAGAGATGCTAAAAATAGTGTCAATTTTTTTAATAAATTAAATTAATTTGAATATTACAATTTTATAAGTTTCAGTATATATACTTTATTTTATTATTTTTATAATTTATTCAAATCACATGTTTTAGGTGTATTCTCTCATTATTACAAACTTACAATAGGAGTTGATTTTGCTATCAAAACAATCTTATGGAACAATAAGAAATCAATCACTTTGCAGCTTTGGTAGGTGTCTGTATAATTAAATAAATGTCTTAGACTTTATAATTTATAAAATATACCCAAGTAAACAAATTTAAAATTTAATGGATAATATAATAAATAATTGTAAATGTTATATATTACTATTTACTTTTTAATGAATATTGTTTTTATTATGATTTTTGCTAATGTTGATAGAGATTTGTTTAAAAATATATTTTTTAAACAAATTAGGGATATAGCTGGTCATGAAAGATTTGGACACATGACTCAAGTATATTATAGATATGCGTAAGTATAAAATTAATAAAATTGATAATTTAATTACACAAATTAATATCTCTTGTAAATAAAAAAAAAAAAATATGCAGATTTAGTGCATTGACATGTCTGCACAAGGAGAGATGTCTGGAATGGTTTGGTTTAACATTAGAAAAGTGAGTTATATCCCAAATAAAAAGAAAGGGATATTGGATAACATGTACAGATAAAAGACTACCTTATTTAGGAACAATCAATTCATATATTTCCAATTATTTTATGCACTATTCTTATAATTTCTATTTATAATCTGTGATAAGTGTTTCATTATCTTCTTATTCTTCAATAATTGAAGAAATATAAACTTGTAATTTTTATATTACTATAACTTTTGGTATTTATAATTAAATTTATTTAGAACATATTGTGTATCTATAATAGTATAAGTAAATAATTTACTTAAAAAACTAAATTTGTTAAAATTTCCAATGAAGCATATATTGAATCTTTAGTTTTTATTCTACAATTTTTTAATTCTGGTATATTTTTAATAATTATCAAATTTTTATAAAATCTCTTATGCCTAGTAACTAAGATCTAAATACTGTAGTGTGTATAACTGTAGAAATATGTTTAGTCCAATTATATATATGAAAATGTTTATGAATAGTTTCTGATATTTTTATAATCCAAATTTTAACATTATGATAAATTGTAACTTAACTATATATGCAAGAATTAATAATAATTGCTATATAATCAAAATCTTTACCTTTCTTCTTCCTTGGGAAATCACTATAATTGCTTTCCAGGAATTGAAGACATTGTCTTACAGATTGCAAACATACAATAAATAGAAATAAAACATCCTACTGGTAAAAATAAAAATACTTTTTGTATATAAAAGATTTGTTTTCAACATAGCTAATAATGTCTGCAATGTTCAATTATATAACTTATTAGTTTTTATAAAAATACAAAAATATCCAGTAAGCCAACACCAATCTGGCCCAATAGGTACCAGATTCCTTACAATCCTTCCACTGATTATTACAGTGGAACCTCGCTTAACAAGCACCTCTCATAACAAGCAAAGCAAATTGTAAAAAAATGACTCATCTAATGAACAGCGTTTCACATAATGAATTACAAAGAGAGGGGATGTCCCGGATTGTGCACATGCTACATCAGCACTTGTAAGATGATAGAAGAACTAATGATTGGTATAATGTATAGTATAATGTAGCAATGAGCAAGTCTACGCGACCATTACTAAGAGGTGCTGTTATCATCAAGCAATCAAATTAATTAACAATGGGGTTTTACCACTTACCATATACGTGCTTTGCTCACAATGGTGTGAGGGGGCTGATGAGGGAAGAAGGTATGTTAATCTGAAATCATGTCAAGATGAACAAGGGGTAAAGGACATTGTGTGGGAGAATGATGCTGAGATAAGTCATCTTTACAAAATAACCCATTTATTTGAATAGTACATGATGCCTATACAATTTCAGTCAAGAACTTCTTTTTGAAGACAGAAAACAAAACTGAAAAGTTCAATCTATAATTCAGCTTCATTGGTGATCCAACAATGATCTGACAGCCCTGGAGCAGACTAGTCGCAAGTCAGGTGTAATGAATAGTAGAACAAAAATGAAGCTGAAGGCAAAAGGACACTGACACAGAGGACAAATGGAGCATAAAAGAATTGATTCTTTTGTCCTCTAAGTTTGGAGATTTTAAGGATTTTATTTCTGAAATAAGTAATTGTAATTTGATCTCTCTCTCTCTCTGGTCTTGAACTTTCTCTTCATTTCTCAATTGGTTCCTTTATTGTTTATAAGTGAAATTAGACAACCAAATCATGTGCAAGAAAGGTTGATCTCCAGTAATCAATTTTGTACCTTGATTCAACTCTGTCCAAATAATGTTAATCAAACTTTGAATCTTTTGATCATATTGTTGATTATAATGTTTTCTCTCCTGACATCCAGGACCTTTAATGAATTTTACAACTAAAATGGGATAGTTTTTTCTTTGAAAAAAAGACCTTTTTTCTTGTTTTGTCAAGATCTGGTCATTTTTACAAGCATCAGAGTCAAAGCTTGATCCTAATCAATATTTATTAGAATTCCAACCCATGAGATTGCCCAAACTCGGGTTCTCACAGGGTTGATCATTCATTGTTTGTTACACATTTGTGATGGATTTATTTTACACATTCTTTTCTCGTTATTAAAATATTTTTAAGTTCATTTGGTGGATTTAGATCCTGTCCAGGACCTCATAATGGGGCTGCTAAGTGGTAAGAGACAGAACCTGACATATCCAGGATTGTCTATCCCCCAAAAATTTCCTGGGGATATTCAACCTCTAGGATTTGATCTCAGGTCCCAGAGTGGTAGGCTAATGCCTTAACTACCTTGGCCATCTTGTCCAGTAAACAATACTTGTTATAAGTATTTAATAAGTTCTAAACTGCAATAATGTAGCATGAGAAATTACATTAATTTTATTGATATTTTTCATGAGAGCAATGGTATAGTTCTATAATTCTCATATATTTTAGTATTTCATGTTTTATGTACTGTACAAGTAATAGAAAAATTAATTTTAAATAATCATTTGGTAATCTATGTTTTCCAAAGCCTACTTTTTTTTTCAAATGTATAGAATATCTGCATTCCATTGTTGTTATATAAATGCATATAAATAGTAAGTTATTTATATGCATTTAATTGTTAACATTTCTCATTTTAATTAGTTATCATTTTTTCTTTACAGAACTGCTGCCATCATTGTTTTTGATCTTTCAAGGTAATTTATTTCTTTATGATAAATTACATAAGAATAATAACACCTATCTTTCTGAAAAAATCAGATTTTAAACAAAAACTAATTTTGTCAAAACAAGAATAGATCTACTCACCAATATACTATAGCTCATTTAAATTTTTAAATTGTGTCTTGCAGATTTAATTTCTCTTAGTTTTTACTATATCATGTTTGTAATTCTTCCTAAATATTTTATATTGCAAAATGAGATAAATGGTTTGAAAGAAATGCTATTATTTTTAGTTTTAAAATATAAGAGAAAAGATAGAATCTTTGTGCAAGTTATTGAAACTAAATAACTTAATGTAAGTTAATATCAGAATTTCAATAATTTTCTATTATTTAGGAATTTTTTATATCTGTTTTTGTTGTAAAGAAAAATATTTTCTAAGTTAAATGTTTTTTAATCATAACTTGAAAAATTCTAAGAATCTTGCATTTTATGAGTGTTTTTGTTTTAGAAGTAGAATAATTAGAATTCCTGAAATAAAGTTATTTTTAATAACTATTGAAGTGTTCCATAATATGAAAACACATGGACTACATGTTTCATATGAAATGATTCAATATCAACATACAGATATACATATAAACTGCAACAGATAGTTATATAACTAAAGAATAAAACATGATTTTAGACAATATATGTCTAAACTTTCATTTAAATGGCTTTACTTACCATTAATGATTATAACTCATTTAGTATAATCATATTATGATTGTAACTGATTTAACATTTGCCAAGTTTACCAGGCACTAATTTGAAATATTACTGTGATAAATTTGTCTCAAAGTTGCTATTTATTCAAATTTCTGTAGTGATGAAAGTATAAAATAATTCTATATAATTTGATAATATGGATATATAATTTTTTAATGCTATTTTTTTTATACTTAATTGATAAAATATATTAAAAAAAATTAGTGATGGTGATATTTTAGAGCCTTTTCGTTGGTGTTAAATAGTTGTAAATTCTTTCAAACTAATTTTAAATTTATAAAATGTATTTTAGGAATTATGAAATTATTCTTATACAATATTAAATATTGAATATTTGCAAAATACATCATTTGTTTATACATTTGTTTATATATTACAGGCCAGCAACTTTGGAGTCAGTGATTAAAGTAAGTATTTATTTTAAGTTTTAAGTTAAATTTTGAATGTTTATAAAAGTTTGTGTTTATATTAACTTAAAGAAAGTAACAAAGATATTATCTTTATAAAAATTCCTATAGAGAATCACTCCAAAGATATAATCACTATCTTTTTAATTTCTATTTGGAAAAAATATGTGATATTTTATAATTCACATTTTTAAATAAAGCAATGTAGCTAGAAAAGCCTTCTAGTTATTTCTAAGTTTGAGTTTAGTCTCTTTTTTCTAGTCTATTTTAATTTAGTCTTCATATTTAAATTAAGAGTTTCCAATCAATTATATAGTTAATATTTATTTTATTTTATTTTAGATCATTTAATGAATTTGATTTGCTTCAAAAATAATATCAAATTTTAGAATATTATCTAAAAAGTTTTTACAAGAAATGAATGGGATATTTGTTAAAAAATCTCAAATTTACAAATTTAAATTTTTCTAAATGATAAAGAAAATTATATATAAATACATTCTGTAATGTGACTGAAAATGACTGTTGTTCTTGGATTACATGCATAAACAAAGTTTCATTAAAATTCTGAAGTTTCTTACATCTATTTAATTAGTCACCAACATAAAAATTTTTGACTTTATTTTATGCAGATAAAGGAAATTATTTCTTTTTGAACTGTGTATTTTCATTAAGATTTTTTTTAATCTTAATTTTATCTTTTGTGAACAAATATGGTGTTAATTTTAATTTTTATGCATATATTTATTTATCATCATTATTTGTATTATAAAGCACATTATTTTACAAATATAACACTACATAAATTTTGATTGAAAAGCATTGTCTTAATATTATGCACAGTTCATTTTCTGACTGAACACAAACTAATAATTGAGCTGAAATACTAGCACCTCAATAATGTTTCAGGGACCATTTATGATGATTACTTGCTGCTACTGTGGCAGTGATATCGCTGCTGGTTAAAAAAAAAAAGAATTTTAAAAAGTGTGTTTGCTCATGCTAGTGAGATTGGACATTGTCACTTTGATTCCATTGTATCTCATAAATGAAATTATAGACCTTCAATTTTTATTATATTTTTAATTTCCTTGCTCCATATTATGTAAAATGATATTTAATCAAATTTTGAGAATGAACACAATTTTATAAGCCACATAGAAACTTTGCTAACACTGCCTCAACAATAAAATCTTTCTGATAGCAGTATTTATAATTTTGTAAGTTTTTTCTTGCCCCTATCCCTATGTCTCTATCAATGTGGAGCTATTGTGCTTTTTGTACTTTTAATAATTTGTGTAAGATGTGTTACATCACTGCTTGGCACTATTTTACAGAATCCTGGTTGAAAACTATTTATTAAATGCTAAGAAAGAAAGGAAATCTCTTCTTTGTAATTTAAACTATTTTATCACAAATCTTGCTTTTTGTCTATTTATTCTTTCTTAATATTTTTATTCAAACATTCTTATTAGAGAACATTATTATGTTTAAGAATCTTGGAAGATTCTTAAACATTTTACTAAAGAAAGTTTTTCTACATCAATAAAAGAATAATTGATTATCAGATCTAAGTTTTTATGGTGCTTACAAGTAAAATGTGGCTTAAAATTCTCTTGAAATATGTTTGATTCAGTAAAGAATAACATATTTCACCTTAAAAATCAATGTGTATCATGCATAATTTTATATTTTTAATAATATATTTATTTTCTAAAATTAAGTAATTGATTTTCTAGTGGCAAAAGGATGTGAAGGAGAAAATTCCACAACCAATTCCAATAATACTAGTTGCAAATAAAGTATATTAAATTTTTTATTATTAAGTTCTTTACATAAACATAAATTTTATTTTATATTATTTCAAAATTATAGTGTGATATTGAAGGCGTAACAGTAAATTGTCAACTGTTATCAGAATTTTGCAAACAACATAATATTGCTACTTGGTTTTTCACTTCAGCAAAAATGAACATAAACATAGGTAACTGTATTTTGTATGAAAGATTTTAATTGTAATCTATTTTAATTGATTAAAAAAAGAATCAGAATTAATTTCTAATGATAATCTTAGCATAGGCTAAAGCATATTCGTATTTATAATCAAAATAATCTTAAAAAATCAAATATCTAGTGATAGAAATGCTTAGATTGATCTAAATCTTTAGAATTGACAACGAAAAAATTTTAAAAAGTGATTGTACAAAGAACATTTAATTGAAGATTTGGCATTACAAAAGTGAATATTGAGATTATAAAATAATCGGGAATGAATCCTGAAGCTGGGTTCTAAAGAATTTGAAAGATCTTGATGAATATGAATTTTTGAAAAAGGCCATATTTTTTAGATATAAATATTTACAGAATTTAATTTTGATTTATTTTTTAATTTTCTGCAGATTTAATATATATTTTACCATATTTATAAAATTTCTATTTCAGAAGAAGCTATATCATTCCTTGTTGATCATATTCTGCAACTAAGAAAAGAAGGTTATCAAGAAGAAGCATACTCAAGTAATACACCTAAACATTTGGTACAGTTGACTGCAAAACACTCTTTGAAACAAAAAATTAAGTGTTGTGGTCATTAATTACATATCTCCAATTCAAACTTTTTACTGGAAATGTTTTTTGAGTTTCAAAGGTTACAGGATTAATTTTCAAAACTTATTTTACCGAATTAATAACGAATTTTATATGATCTCATATGTTACATGCTCATATCATAAAGGTATGCTGGCATACCTTATCATATCATGCATTTTATACAAATAAACATTGACATCAATTTGTATTTAAGAGAAAGCATTATGTAAGTATTTTAATTCTAAAACTTCTCAATTAGATACTGAATTGTATATTGTTAAATTGATGAAATTTGTAATACTAAAGTAGCATTCTTATATATATGTATATTAATGAATCTTTCACACACAGTAGCTCATAAAATTATTATGCAAATGTAATTATTCATCATGCATGAATATTTATCTTATAAAATATATTTTCTATTTAAAAGTTTATTGCGTGCAATATGCAATAATTATAGTACTTATTGTTTTCCATCTTGAAGTATTTTATGAATTGTTATATTTTTATTGAAAGCACTATTTTATAATACTCAAAATGGTACGCCTAAAATGTTTACCACTGCGGCTATGGCAAATGTACGATTTTCAAATGAAGTTTTAATAAAACAGTATTATTTAGTTTGTATTTATTTATAACTAAAGTGCTGCTTTTCCAAATGTGTGTCAGTTTTACTAATTTAATGTTGTTAAGATGCAAGAATTATTCAATATATTTTGTCTTATTATCATTTTTAAAAATTGATCATTCCTGCCTGAAACACTAAAGGCATTCTGTTTTTCTCAGCCAAAAATTAATTAATTGTTTTAAATTTAGTTGTAAATAAAATATGTAAATCATTTTTTTTTCTAATGATTTTTTCTATCTAGAAACATTATATATTATAAGTTTATATTTCTTATTAATAAAATTTTCTCTGTAAGTTGCATTTTAAATTAATGTCTGTTAGAAAAATAATTTCTAAGTTAAAATGAGATATAACATACAGAATGGCATCTTTGCCACAAAGTTTGAAGATTTAGGAAAAATAATTTGTTCTTTGGGACAAGAGAATTGATTTTAATCAGTATTATAGATAATATGTTGAAAGTTTAACTAATACTTTAAGTTTTCCTATATGTCTATATGCACATGAAGTAAACTTCAGTTATAACAGAAATTGAAAAATATCTTTTTGTGCATTAATAGGAGCTAAGTATTAAACAAATAGTTAAATTGCACTCAATTATTACATCATCCTCTATAGAATCTAGGTTAATATCAGGTTTTCAATGTCTTATATTTGGGCCAATGAATATGGCATTCAAATTCTTGTCTCCAAACAGGGACTACACTTAATTTTTACAAATAACAGAAAACAAAGAAGAAAAAAAAAAAATTATTGTATGTGGAAAAATAGGACTTTTAAAATGACGAGAGATTATAATTAAATTAACTTTGGCATGCTTTTGATTATTTCTCAGCAAAAAATTTACTACAAAACGTAATTCATTTTTTAATCACTCAACAGGTTAGGATGAGAAATAAGTAATATTTATTTTATAAATTAGAAAACAAATTTAATTAGCACCATTTTAAATCTCATGACTTTAAAACTTGGCATTATTTGAATTCAAGGAAAATATGCTACTTGTTTAAAAGTTAGGTACCTTAAATAATATGCATATTTTCCTCAAATACTAATCTATGAATTTCTTCTATAGTCTATAGTTCTGAAATTTCAATATATATTGGAAGAGAAAATTTTCAATGAACACAGAACTGCAGGTGAACTTTCTCATTTGAGCTTATTTAATGCATGTTTATGTTCATTTCAGTTTAAACATGCTTTCAGTATTGATTAACATAAAGCATTCTTTCAAATAATCCTGTAATATAAATTTCTGCACATCCAAAAAATTCAGAACAAGAATCAGATTATAACAAATAATTTAAACAATCAGTAGTAACTTAGTGTTTTGTGTTTTTAATTCTTGTCTATGGTTCTGCAATAAAGAATGAAAATCTGATTTTCTAGTGAAGAAATTGATTCTATTACTCTGATATGGTGAATTGATAGACAAAATATTACCAGGTTATAGTATGTTGTTTTTTGATAGAAATGTATGCAGCTGTAACCAAATTGACTATATTTATAGTTTGACAAATCTAACCAGATTTTAGTAGCCTGACTTTTAAGCAATTTGATTATAGTATTTTGAAGGAAAAATATGAATATTTTTTAAAGGTGAGTCTAGTGTTTGTGTTATAGAAGAAAATGATACATTCTGGCAAAATGGAATGTTTTCTTCAACAATCAGTAACTCATAACTATAATTTAAGAACTGTTATTATAAAGTAATAAAAAAAATAATATTTATAAAATAAAGTTGTTTTTAATTCCTGTTTTATTATTACTAAATTGCTAATAGTTTTCAAAATAAAAGAAAGCAATGATTTCCAATTAATAATAATTTTTTTAAATAATTGTAAAGCATAATAACTTTGTCAATTATGATATTAATTAAAAAGAATAGTTAAAATCATAAGAGCTAATATAACTATTCAACTTACTAATGCAGGGCTTCTTAAACTTTTTTTATTCACAACCCCATTTATGATTGTGATTTTTTTTGCGACCCAAAAAATATAAAATAAAGATATATACAAATTTGCAAAAACAATAATGGTGTACTATCACAGTTCACTCTTGTGTTACAATGGAACAGAGANAAATCTCAAATTTACAAATTTAAATTTTTCTAAATGATAAAGAAAATTATATATAAATACATTCTGTAATGTGACTGAAAATGACTGTTGTTCTTGGATTACATGCATAAACAAAGTTTCATTAAAATTCTGAAGTTTCTTACATCTATTTAATTAGTCACCAACATAAAAATTTTTGACTTTATTTTATGCAGATAAAGGAAATTATTTCTTTTTGAACTGTGTATTTTCATTAAGATTTTTTTTAATCTTAATTTTATCTTTTGTGAACAAATATGGTGTTAATTTTAATTTTTATGCATATATTTATTTATCATCATTATTTGTATTATAAAGCACATTATTTTACAAATATAACACTACATAAATTTTGATTGAAAAGCATTGTCTTAATATTATGCACAGTTCATTTTCTGACTGAACACAAACTAATAATTGAGCTGAAATACTAGCACCTCAATAATGTTTCAGGGACCATTTATGATGATTACTTGCTGCTACTGTGGCAGTGATATCGCTGCTGGTTAAAAAAAAAAAGAATTTTAAAAAGTGTGTTTGCTCATGCTAGTGAGATTGGACATTGTCACTTTGATTCCATTGTATCTCATAAATGAAATTATAGACCTTCAATTTTTATTATATTTTTAATTTCCTTGCTCCATATTATGTAAAATGATATTTAATCAAATTTTGAGAATGAACACAATTTTATAAGCCACATAGAAACTTTGCTAACACTGCCTCAACAATAAAATCTTTCTGATAGCAGTATTTATAATTTTGTAAGTTTTTTCTTGCCCCTATCCCTATGTCTCTATCAATGTGGAGCTATTGTGCTTTTTGTACTTTTAATAATTTGTGTAAGATGTGTTACATCACTGCTTGGCACTATTTTACAGAATCCTGGTTGAAAACTATTTATTAAATGCTAAGAAAGAAAGGAAATCTCTTCTTTGTAATTTAAACTATTTTATCACAAATCTTGCTTTTTGTCTATTTATTCTTTCTTAATATTTTTATTCAAACATTCTTATTAGAGAACATTATTATGTTTAAGAATCTTGGAAGATTCTTAAACATTTTACTAAAGAAAGTTTTTCTACATCAATAAAAGAATAATTGATTATCAGATCTAAGTTTTTATGGTGCTTACAAGTAAAATGTGGCTTAAAATTCTCTTGAAATATGTTTGATTCAGTAAAGAATAACATATTTCACCTTAAAAATCAATGTGTATCATGCATAATTTTATATTTTTAATAATATATTTATTTTCTAAAATTAAGTAATTGATTTTCTAGTGGCAAAAGGATGTGAAGGAGAAAATTCCACAACCAATTCCAATAATACTAGTTGCAAATAAAGTATATTAAATTTTTTATTATTAAGTTCTTTACATAAACATAAATTTTATTTTATATTATTTCAAAATTATAGTGTGATATTGAAGGCGTAACAGTAAATTGTCAACTGTTATCAGAATTTTGCAAACAACATAATATTGCTACTTGGTTTTTCACTTCAGCAAAAATGAACATAAACATAGGTAACTGTATTTTGTATGAAAGATTTTAATTGTAATCTATTTTAATTGATTAAAAAAAGAATCAGAATTAATTTCTAATGATAATCTTAGCATAGGCTAAAGCATATTCGTATTTATAATCAAAATAATCTTAAAAAATCAAATATCTAGTGATAGAAATGCTTAGATTGATCTAAATCTTTAGAATTGACAACGAAAAAATTTTAAAAAGTGATTGTACAAAGAACATTTAATTGAAGATTTGGCATTACAAAAGTGAATATTGAGATTATAAAATAATCGGGAATGAATCCTGAAGCTGGGTTCTAAAGAATTTGAAAGATCTTGATGAATATGAATTTTTGAAAAAGGCCATATTTTTTAGATATAAATATTTACAGAATTTAATTTTGATTTATTTTTTAATTTTCTGCAGATTTAATATATATTTTACCATATTTATAAAATTTCTATTTCAGAAGAAGCTATATCATTCCTTGTTGATCATATTCTGCAACTAAGAAAAGAAGGTTATCAAGAAGAAGCATACTCAAGTAATACACCTAAACATTTGGTACAGTTGACTGCAAAACACTCTTTGAAACAAAAAATTAAGTGTTGTGGTCATTAATTACATATCTCCAATTCAAACTTTTTACTGGAAATGTTTTTTGAGTTTCAAAGGTTACAGGATTAATTTTCAAAACTTATTTTACCGAATTAATAACGAATTTTATATGATCTCATATGTTACATGCTCATATCATAAAGGTATGCTGGCATACCTTATCATATCATGCATTTTATACAAATAAACATTGACATCAATTTGTATTTAAGAGAAAGCATTATGTAAGTATTTTAATTCTAAAACTTCTCAATTAGATACTGAATTGTATATTGTTAAATTGATGAAATTTGTAATACTAAAGTAGCATTCTTATATATATGTATATTAATGAATCTTTCACACACAGTAGCTCATAAAATTATTATGCAAATGTAATTATTCATCATGCATGAATATTTATCTTATAAAATATATTTTCTATTTAAAAGTTTATTGCGTGCAATATGCAATAATTATAGTACTTATTGTTTTCCATCTTGAAGTATTTTATGAATTGTTATATTTTTATTGAAAGCACTATTTTATAATACTCAAAATGGTACGCCTAAAATGTTTACCACTGCGGCTATGGCAAATGTACGATTTTCAAATGAAGTTTTAATAAAACAGTATTATTTAGTTTGTATTTATTTATAACTAAAGTGCTGCTTTTCCAAATGTGTGTCAGTTTTACTAATTTAATGTTGTTAAGATGCAAGAATTATTCAATATATTTTGTCTTATTATCATTTTTAAAAATTGATCATTCCTGCCTGAAACACTAAAGGCATTCTGTTTTTCTCAGCCAAAAATTAATTAATTGTTTTAAATTTAGTTGTAAATAAAATATGTAAATCATTTTTTTTTCTAATGATTTTTTCTATCTAGAAACATTATATATTATAAGTTTATATTTCTTATTAATAAAATTTTCTCTGTAAGTTGCATTTTAAATTAATGTCTGTTAGAAAAATAATTTCTAAGTTAAAATGAGATATAACATACAGAATGGCATCTTTGCCACAAAGTTTGAAGATTTAGGAAAAATAATTTGTTCTTTGGGACAAGAGAATTGATTTTAATCAGTATTATAGATAATATGTTGAAAGTTTAACTAATACTTTAAGTTTTCCTATATGTCTATATGCACATGAAGTAAACTTCAGTTATAACAGAAATTGAAAAATATCTTTTTGTGCATTAATAGGAGCTAAGTATTAAACAAATAGTTAAATTGCACTCAATTATTACATCATCCTCTATAGAATCTAGGTTAATATCAGGTTTTCAATGTCTTATATTTGGGCCAATGAATATGGCATTCAAATTCTTGTCTCCAAACAGGGACTACACTTAATTTTTACAAATAACAGAAAACAAAGAAGAAAAAAAAAAAATATTGNTAAATTTAGTTGTAAATAAAATATGTAAATCATTTTTTTTTCTAATGATTTTTTCTATCTAGAAACATTATATATTATAAGTTTATATTTCTTATTAATAAAATTTTCTCTGTAAGTTGCATTTTAAATTAATGTCTGTTAGAAAAATAATTTCTAAGTTAAAATGAGATATAACATACAGAATGGCATCTTTGCCACAAAGTTTGAAGATTTAGGAAAAATAATTTGTTCTTTGGGACAAGAGAATTGATTTTAATCAGTATTATAGATAATATGTTGAAAGTTTAACTAATACTTTAAGTTTTCCTATATGTCTATATGCACATGAAGTAAACTTCAGTTATAACAGAAATTGAAAAATATCTTTTTGTGCATTAATAGGAGCTAAGTATTAAACAAATAGTTAAATTGCACTCAATTATTACATCATCCTCTATAGAATCTAGGTTAATATCAGGTTTTCAATGTCTTATATTTGGGCCAATGAATATGGCATTCAAATTCTTGTCTCCAAACAGGGACTACACTTAATTTTTACAAATAACAGAAAACAAAGAAGAAAAAAAAAAAAATTATTGTATGTGGAAAAATAGGACTTTTAAAATGACGAGAGATTATAATTAAATTAACTTTGGCATGCTTTTGATTATTTCTCAGCAAAAAATTTACTACAAAACGTAATTCATTTTTTAATCACTCAACAGGTTAGGATGAGAAATAAGTAATATTTATTTTATAAATTAGAAAACAAATTTAATTAGCACCATTTTAAATCTCATGACTTTAAAACTTGGCATTATTTGAATTCAAGGAAAATATGCTACTTGTTTAAAAGTTAGGTACCTTAAATAATATGCATATTTTCCTCAAATACTAATCTATGAATTTCTTCTATAGTCTATAGTTCTGAAATTTCAATATATATTGGAAGAGAAAATTTTCAATGAACACAGAACTGCAGGTGAACTTTCTCATTTGAGCTTATTTAATGCATGTTTATGTTCATTTCAGTTTAAACATGCTTTCAGTATTGATTAACATAAAGCATTCTTTCAAATAATCCTGTAATATAAATTTCTGCACATCCAAAAAATTCAGAACAAGAATCAGATTATAACAAATAATTTAAACAATCAGTAGTAACTTAGTGTTTTGTGTTTTTAATTCTTGTCTATGGTTCTGCAATAAAGAATGAAAATCTGATTTTCTAGTGAAGAAATTGATTCTATTACTCTGATATGGTGAATTGATAGACAAAATATTACCAGGTTATAGTATGTTGTTTTTTGATAGAAATGTATGCAGCTGTAACCAAATTGACTATATTTATAGTTTGACAAATCTAACCAGATTTTAGTAGCCTGACTTTTAAGCAATTTGATTATAGTATTTTGAAGGAAAAATATGAATATTTTTTAAAGGTGAGTCTAGTGTTTGTGTTATAGAAGAAAATGATACATTCTGGCAAAATGGAATGTTTTCTTCAACAATCAGTAACTCATAACTATAATTTAAGAACTGTTATTATAAAGTAATAAAAAAAATAATATTTATAAAATAAAGTTGTTTTTAATTCCTGTTTTATTATTACTAAATTGCTAATAGTTTTCAAAATAAAAGAAAGCAATGATTTCCAATTAATAATAATTTTTTTAAATAATTGTAAAGCATAATAACTTTGTCAATTATGATATTAATTAAAAAGAATAGTTAAAATCATAAGAGCTAATATAACTATTCAACTTACTAATGCAGGGCTTCTTAAACTTTTTTTATTCACAACCCCATTTATGATTGTGATTTTTTTTGCGACCCAAAAAATATAAAATAAAGATATATACAAATTTGCAAAAACAATAATGGTGTACTATCACAGTTCACTCTTGTGTTACAATGGAACAGAGACGACTGAATACACTGAAAAGCGACAACACTACACTAGTTCACACTACAATCAGTGTTGCTGAATCATTGTCTCGCTGCACCAGAAGTGACACAAAGCGCAACTCACGAAACCTATGACACAAAGCATGCCATTTTCAAACTCACAAATTATTTTCAGTATTTTGCATTAAAACCTCGTGACCCCAAGATTTCGCTAAGCGACACCAAATCGGGTCGCGACCCATAGTTTAAGAAGCCCTGTACTAATGTAACAAGTGATCCTCTTCCAATCCTATTACTAGAATCAGATTTAAATTTAGATGACTGAACCTACTGATATCAGATGTGTTAATAATGAAACTATAACTAACCATACAATCCATTGTGCACTAAATAATTTGCATAACCAATCCAATCTTAAACATCAATCTATATCAGTGATTTCCAAACTTTTTTGATCCACTGTCCCCTTGGTTCTATAAACTTATACTTAATGCTCCCTAACCCATTTTCTCTTGTGAGAAAATCTTAAAAAAGTTTTCTGTGTTCTTACCATAAATTGCTCTTTACATCTGGAAACCATTAAATGCAATAGTTCTTCTTATCCATTTTAATAGAGGAAAGAGAAAGGTTTGTCAGTGACCCCAATCCTCGCCTATGGTCGGTATCCTGCTTCTAGTGTCCCTGCTACCCACTTGATTCTTTTCACCACCTAATGAAGTGTAATAAGATTTTTCAGTTTAAATTATTCTACTTGCATTCAGCATAGAATACTGTAGTATACAAGAATTAAAGTTAAAGTTGTATTAAAAAATATACGATGACTATTTAAAAAATCATTAAATATTTTAAATCTTAGTTTTTATAGAGTAAAAAAAAAATTTTTTTTTATAAACCATACTATTATTACTGATCTGCCAATCTTGGAGGGGGAGTCCCCAGTGCCATGTCATCTTAAATTCTGTTTTGAGAACCATATTGGATCTTCCTCAGACAGTTTCCAACATCTCACTATACATTGAAGTGGGATTTTTCACCTGCAAGTGGCTCCAATTCCATACTGCTATCTTTTTCTGCATCTGTCTTGGGGGCTTTTAGTCCATTGGCACCACTGATCTGCTCAGCATCTAGCATAACATTCTACTGCTCATACAGCTACCAGCATTACATCAAAAGCCATTCATCATACATGATGTAGCCTTTCTTCAACAGCAGGGTATTGATCCAATGATCTTACTACTGGATTTGCATAGACATTAATCATGGATCTGCAATGTTATAGCTTAACTCCATGAACCAGATAAAGCTTTAATCAAGTCACAGGTGGAAAAGCTAACACAAAGAATGCTTTATAAGGATAAAATTCAAAATTAATAGATTGTTACTTAATTTAACCAAAAGACTTGGATAAAGTTAGTATTTGTCAATTAATCCTAACTTTATTTGACTTACAAACTTCAGTATAATATAACTATGTATTCTACATATACACAAACATATATACATACAGTAAAAGATTAAATAAAATTTTTATACAATATGATATTCTTGAATATTTAAATCAATTCTATAAACTAATTAGGAATGTGAGGCCAGGAACACATCCGACAATACAGGAGATAGATTGTCAGACCAAAGTCAATAAATGGGTGATATATTCATTTGCACAGAGCTGGAAAGCAGAGAAATTGGGTGCTGTAAAGTGCATGAGAGAGGGAGTGACACTGATCAAAGTTTTTGTGATCAGCCAACACCAAGTCTAAAGCAAAAAAGACCATATAGACACAGTTGCATTCTCTCCAAAATGGAAGAAAAACACATACAGTAGAACCTCGATTATCCGGACTAATTGGGGATGAAGGTAGTCCGGATAAGGAAAAATCCGGATAATCGAAACAAATACTTTAATTTGTCTTTTAATGATAATACAACACGTTTTCTTTTCGATGACATATCGGTAATATTAAAAGTAAATACTGTATTTAAACCGTGATCAAATTTTCAAGAAACAAACGTTTGTATTGAATTTGGACTATTATTGACCAACGCTAACAGACTACCTATTGTTTAAAAGGCCCTCTGGTGGCGCAAGAAGACGGATTTTATAAAATAAAAAGCAGTTGAAACTGCATTCTTATGAATAAAAATTTGAGAAACTATTTATCGTTTTATGACGAGTAAAATTTTTTCGTCGCGTTCGCGGCTTTTAAGTAATGCATAAACCTTCGAAACGCGAGACCCTTCGGACCGCGAGGCATAGACGGTGGCCCACGTTACCTATGCCTTACGCCGCCCTTGGTCATAGAAATGATGTAATTTGAAAATAAATTATTTATAAATACGTATGTCAAGTTATATTTTTATTACGACGCAAAATATATTTAAGAGTTTACAACCACTGTGCTGGGTGAGACGTTGTTGAAACAAAAAAAGTTATCATTCCATCACGTACATAAACAGTATCGTAATTCGCCAAGTGCAAATCCGCAAATTCGTAAAATTTTTGTTTATTTTGGACAATCCGGATAATCGAAAATCCGGATAATGGAGGTTCTACTGTATTTGTAATTTACAAGATAATCATTCAACAAGAATATAACCCAACCCTTCAGGGAGAGTGGTGTCTGCATTGGGGGAGAAGTGGGTGGTCAGCACTCTGCAACCCAAATTCTGCCCCTGACAACAGCTCAGACTAATCAGAAATTGGAATTTGGGATAAAATTTGTATAAATTAATATAAACTCGAGGACATGAGTTTTTATACAATTGGTCATCTTCCAGTAATCTTTGCCATCTTTTACCATCCAGTGAGTCTGCTGTCCACCCAGGAATTTCCTTGCTGCCCTCTACTTTAATTTTAATTTGTGATCAACATGCAACACAACTTCGCCAATGTCTTTCTAAGAAATCTACCTGTGGCCACAGGACCACCAAGCACCTCTTTTTGATTATTTATCCATCCCAACCTTATTAAGGCATCTGTCACTCACCAAGGTCTCACCAACCTTACCCCGACCAGTGCCTTGTCATCATTTCCTGGCTATCATCTTGTAATAACTTCAAATTTCAATTTTGTATTGTAAGCATCTATTTGTTAATTCATTAAATGTGAATTATATGATAAATCTGTCAGTGTGTCTCTGGGTCCAGTACCACTACACCCATATGAACTTAACCTCTTGCATCATCCCGAGAGATGACAGGAAAGGCGAGTACGCTTGTCTTTTACTGCAAGACGGATCATCGTATCAAATGTATCCATTGATATGAAAATGAGTAGAAAATTACTACAGTAGAGCCTCGAAAACTCGGCACTCCGGATAACTCAGCCACACCCTGGCAGGGCAAAAAAATCCTTAGTTAATTAATTTTCATGATAAAGACAGCTTTATGCCTCATAAAGTATTTTTCTGAGGTCTGTCTGATCAGGTAAATTACTGTACAGTGTATTCATTAATTTTCATTTTCATGTAGTAAAGGCTCTATGCCTTCATAAAGGACGTACTTTTCCTTTGTTTAAGGGTATTTGGGCAGTTTATTCTCTGTTGTATTCTCAAGTAAACAATACATACAAGTACAGTACAGTATTTTCTGAGGAAACACTCATACTTTTTTTTTTTAAATACTCATACTATTTTTTTTAACCCCATTCCTGATAACCCGGCATTTTCACAAACTCGGCCACCCTTCGGTCCACATTAGGCCGAGTTTTCGAGGCTCTACTGTACTAGAATTAATAGCTAGCAGTGGCATAGCTATAATTTTGACACTTCCTGAAAAAAAATTTTTGGGGCTTCACCAATCTGAGAAAAATGAAAACTAATTTTTTTTCAATGTTTATTATTATTGCTTGAAAGAACTTTATTTGACAACAAATGTAATTTTATTATGTCCTAATATTATAGAGCCTCTAGTACTGTAGGATTCTGTAGAGCCTAGTCAAGGCCAAGGTGAGGCAATAAGGTAACTGCCTAAAGTGGAAAAATGAGCAGTCAAAAATATTTCAAAGGAAAAATAAATAAAATTAAGCCAAATATAATAAAGTTCCATAAATGTACATTAAAGTTTGTTTATAAATAGTTCATACAAAACTGCAAGTATAGAAGTGCCTCATTATTTTCAACTATTAATACAAAAATTGTTATAAAGGCAACTGGATATGATGCTCAGTAGTGCACCCAGAGGGTCCCTTGCCCCCTCTGGGTGCAAGAGGCCCAGGCACCTTCCAAAGGAAAACGAAAAAGAACATTAGAAAATTTTCCAAATATTTTCCTAATTAAAATTAATTTTTTTATTTATATTGTGTTTAAAAGACTTGAGCAGCTTTCAGGTTTGAATGAAATGCTATAAAAAAAAATTTGTGACCAAGACACTGGTAACATAAGACTTCACATTGTAATCGCCAACAAGACATTTCTACATCAAGATAGCCAGCTAAATGGCAGTAGTAGTAAGCATAATGCTGGTCTGTGACCCATTTTGAGTGTAGCTTGGGCTTTAGAAACTTTCATGGGTGATCTGACCAGAATATTTTGAGCTTGGTTCCAGCATATCCATCTATGTCTGTTCTGTCTGACCAAACTCAGAATATGAAATAAGGAACTGTAGAATGGAAAGAAGTTAAAAAGAAAATCCTATATGAAAATTAGATTAGACTTTAATAAATATGAAGTAAATACTATAATAGATTTCTTGCTTTTTTTATTCTTTCATGCCAAATTTGTGTCAGATAAATATAATCATATAAATTGGAAATATTTATGCATTTCTAATTCTAACAATTCCATATACAGTAACATGATTATGAATAAAATATACAGAATTTTATGTAATTTTTCATAGTACTAAACAACTATATGTGATGATAATAATGAAAGTAATGTACAGTACTAACATTTTTGTTTATAGTTATTGCTAAATTTAGTGGATGTATTACTAAACATATAATGTAACAATAAAATTGATTTAACATGATAATTTAAAGAGCAAAAGAATCAAATTTTCAAAAATTTTATTGGGAAATAGTTTTTTACATTTTATTCTCCAAACAAAAATTTGTTTTAAAAAAATATTATCTTATAAATTATATTACATAACTTGTATTTAAATAATTTTCTGGCTTACATACTATCTTTAAACATTTTCTATAAATTTAACAAATAAATCAGTTTTAATAAAGGTAAATTTTGCAACTAATTCACTTATAAAATAAATGTGGAGTTAATTTTTTTTTCAAGAAAAATGATATAACTTAACTAAATATGCTTATATATATGTACAATCATATATCATTTGAAAAATCACAAGTTTCTTCTTGTGTAATCAAATCAATAATTGTTTTAAGCAGCTCACATTCTGCATCATGTTTATTCCAATTTGTTACTCCAGGATGAGCTATTTTTTGTGCAAGAAGTTTGTCTAATTCTTGTCGAAGTTCAATAACAAGTTTAGCAATTTTTTCTGGACAATGGAAAACAATATGATTATCCACAGTTACCGTTTCATACAAATCTTTTTTACCAATAGATATTTTTCCACCAAAGAATAGCAATGGATAAGGATTAATGATAGTGGCATCATGTAAAAATATTTCTGTACTCTGTACTTTTTTATGGTAAACTAACCAAGGTGTTTTAAATGTTTTTTCTCTGTAATTGACAGATTTTGGATGAAATGCAATCCGTCCGTTTTCTGGTGTATACATTTTAGGTGGGGCATGATGATTTTGCCTTCTTTCTTTTGGAAACTTCAACTTAGCAACATTTGGATATAAACCGGCACAGATGATGGCTTTTATGAGTGCATCATTATTTGAATTTATGTTAAAATCTGGATGTTTCAGATAATCACAATGAAGAAAATGCAATTCATGGAGATATCTAGCAAACTGTTTCTTCATATTATTCAACATTCTTAACGTTGAAGCCGATAAGAAGTATTGTCTGCAAAACTGATATTCCTGTCTTGTTGTCACTGCATTTTCCCATCCTCGAAATGCCCGTATGAGCATGAGATGGTCACTTTGTGTATCTGCAGCTAATTCCTTCTTCTTTGAATCTGCTAATTGCTCTTTTCCCAGAGGTATAATAAAGGCATCTTTAAAATTTAAACTGACAGCAACTGTCAAAATGGGATCCAGGCAAGAAAATATAGCACCAAATAAAATCATTTTACCAGTATGAGGATCAAGAGGAAGCTTGGCAAGGTGATAGCCCAAAGATGTAAGATTCTCATTGTCATCAAATGCATTCAACTGTTTTAAGAGTTCAATCGATGACTGTAAAGTTTTCATGTGTGGTAACTGAATAGCTTTACTAACAAATGCAGTTATGTCACCTAATTCTAAAAGTTTTATTTTTAGACAAAGCTCTTCAAGTCTTATTCTAAGGATTTCAGGTAATGGATAATCTTTCAATTGTGATTCTCTCCATTTAGTGAATAAATGATAACAGATGCCCGGCTGTACTCTTCCTGCTCTACCTCTTCTTTGCAAAGCATTCGCACGGGCAATCCATTCTGGCTTTAAAGTCGCAATATTATTTTCTGTATCAAAATTATTCATTTTAATTTTTCCACTGTCAATTACAAAGACAACATCATCGATAGTAATGCTAGTCTCTGCAATGTTGGTCGAAATAATAATTTTTCTTACTCCTAAAGGAGGTTGGTTGAATACTTCTTTTTGGTTGACAGTTGGCATCAAGGAATGCAAAGGAATTATAAGATATTGTGAAGAATTAAAAAAATAATCATTTGTTATAAATGTATGAAGTTTGCTTATCTGATCCCAACCTGGTAAAAATATTAATATAGCACCTTCACCTTGACTTCTGCAAATATATTTTATTAATTCAACTATTAAGTCAAAATCTATATCATCTTCATCGTAATTACTAAGTGCTTTAACTGTATGTGCAGAATAGTTGCCCATCAATGATTTTAAAATATTTTCTTGCATTTCTTCATACTTGCGAATTTGTTCCCTTCCTTTTTTTGTATATCTTTTCCATTTGGAATCAATTATTTTATTAGGTTGCTGTTTAGGAGTATACCTCGTCATCTCTAATACATCTTCTAGCATATATTCTTCTACAGGATAAGTAAAACCTGGTATGTTTAACATTGGACAGTTATTAAAATATTCCGAAAACATTTCTGCATTCATCGTAGCACTCATTAATATTAGTTTCAAATTGGGACGTTTTGGTAGCAGATCTTTCATTATGATCAATAAGAAATCAGACTCTAACGTTCTTTCATGAATTTCATCAAGAACTAAATGCGAAATTTGCAGTAAATCAGGATCAGATCGTAACCTCTGAAGCATTATTCCCGTAGTACAGTAGAGTATAGAGCCGGTTTCACGTGGTAATTTATGTTCTAATCTAATTTGATATCCCACACTATTATCATTGCCACATTTTTCTCCTCGTTCTTGAGCCACTCGCTCCGCTACAGCAATTGCACTAATTCTTCTCGGTTGAGTACAAACAATTTTACAAGTAGATCCCTCTCCATTCATAATATAATAATCAAGAATAAACTGAGTAACTTGTGTAGTCTTTCCACATCCAGTTTCTCCCGTGATGACTACAATTTGATTACTTTCAATTAAATCTAATATATCCTCTCTCATAGAATAAGCTGGTAATTTTTTTCTGAATTTTAGCATTTCTTTATATGCTTCATCATTCATTTTGCTTTCCAATTTATCTTTATATTGTTCATCTAAAAATGTATTCACTTTTAAACGATTAGATCTCAAAACACTCTGGTTCACTACACTATTAGAAGAACACGCTCTTGTCGTGTCCATGTCTTCAGTTTCGAGAGAATATCTACGAGACGGTAATTTTGTATTTCTCATATGAAGAAGAAGATCTTCAACGTGTTTTTCTTTCTGTACATTCATATAGACTTTAGATGTAGGATTTTCATTCTCAGACTTCATGAGCCTTTTATTACGTCTCGAAACATCATCAGAATCGTTCTGCTTCTCTCTTCTTAATCTGGCATAATACAACCCGATCTCTTTTCCTTTCAGATGACTCGGATGCCGAGAAAATTTTCTCTCGCCCTCACCATAATTCGAATCTTTATGACTTCGTCTCCATTCACATTTTCTCTGAGGTAACTGTTCCATTTTGCTAAATATATGAAAAAGTCTTGGTCTTCGTAATACCAAATAAATTTTCATAAACATTCAAACTTCAAAACAAATAAATGCGTTCTTTACAAATGCTTTCGATTTTTATTTCGAAAATCGTTCCAAAAACAAAACGTGTTGATTTGAATAACTCAACAGTATTACAGGTATTAAACATTTCTTCGTTATTTGAAATTATGCTTTAAAAATACTGAAATTTACTCATATATTATTAATTTAATAAATGTCAGTAAAAAACCGGAACCCTCTTTTCACTCTCTACAATCAACGATGAGTGTTGCCAGACGAAAATTTAATCCGATAACAAATGACACGAAACATGAATAAACTGTAGATAAGTTGTTAATAATAATAATTTAAATATTATTATTATGCATTAATTGAAATTCGTGAACTTTAATTGTACGATGACTTTTTTTTTAAACTCTTTCCGCTCTGTGGGCACTAAGAGGGTCTCTTTTAGCAAGCCCATTATGGGTTCGGCCAGGCCCACAATGGAGCAATGCCACCTTGACCGCTCGACCATCCGGCCGTCGTTATTCCTAGGTCTTGAGCATTAGAGACAAATTGTAAGTTCTGATCGTTTAATTGGAAGTTAATGCTGAGAGGTATATTGAAAACGCTGAATATCATAACTTTGATTTCCTTAATGTTTATTAAAAGATTTAACGATTTAAGAAATTCATTTAATTTTTCTGTCATATTGTAATCTTATTTGGCAGGATTTGCAGTCTTGATGTCATCGCATATGCATTGATAAAATAAGAGGTTAAAAAGGGAGGATCTTATTAATATAAGCGGCAAAAAAATCAAGCAACGAATTGCTTAACTTTCCCAGCAACATTTGGTGGCGTTTTGTTAACATATCTTATTTTAAAAACTTTTTATATTTTTAATTATTATAAATAAAATGACAAAACTAAAACTTAATTTTGAGGGTAGTGATGTGTTTTATAAAAAATTGTAAATGCGAATAACGAGTAAAATCGTCATTAATTAAGTCTGATCCCTCTCGAGATATCAGACGATCCCTTTATTTGCCCACTTCCTCGACCTTTAACCACCAAAATTTAATAGCATCAATCCCCTAGCACACAAACCTCCCTGCAAAATTTCGGAAATTTTCGACAAAAGCAGGAATTATTAAGCTTCAAAGAGGCTGAACAAAATCGTTCCACACAAACATTAATATCCATAGATACAGAAATACCCCAAATTTTTTTGCATTTCTCTACATTTTCAAGGTGTCCTGAATCCAAAAATTCATTCTTCGGAAGGAGTCATTTTTTTGACCGATCGTCATACTTTTCTTCTTTTATATATAACAGAGCCGGGAAAGTAATAAGTTACTGAGAATAGAACCTTGAGGTATAGCTAAAACTGTGGAGAATTCTTGAAAATAGAGATCAGAAACTTTTATTTTATAAGTGCACAAAATGTAGAAATAAGTAAGCCAATATAATATTATATCGTTTATTTCAAATTCAGAAGAATTTAGAGAAGGATATTCGGAGCAACGGAGTTGAAGGCCTTAACTTTGTCTATGTAAACGAATAAAGTAGATAATTGTAATTCAAAGTTTGGTAAAATTCACGTAATTTCAAAAAGCTTACTGGTGGTAGAGAGATGAAGAATACCAGAATGTTGAGCACTGTTAATTCGTTTATATATGGAACGGTAAATACAAATTAAAAAGATCTTTAGCATAGCAGTAGTAAGAGAATAGGACGAAACAAATCAAGATCCATTTTTTCGTAGAATAGAAATAACATAATATCAACTATAGCGGGATTTAAAAAAAAATAATAATAAGCGAAGAACACTAAATAAAACGAATTATCTAAAAAGTAAACAAAACGATGTGAATTAATTCAATCGTCTTGGTCTTCAGTATCTGGATAAATATAAAATATTAATGTATTTCTAGACGACACGGAAAGATAAGCTGATTATAAATTTGTTTGATTTTAGTTGTGCTTTTTTATTATAAAGTTTTCACCGCTAGAGTGCTCTTTTTCACAATGGTGGCTGGGGCTTTCCCAATTGTGAAATTAGGAGCTCTTGCTGTGAAACAATTTAGTAAACCTTTAGCAAATAGCATCAAATCACGGGCAAAAAAGAGTCATTTCTTCAGAACATACATATGCATGCCACCAGCGCAACGTAAGTGTATGGCTTATAAACAAATACCAAATTTAAAATTGTGACGCAATAAATACGTCACGCTAACGTCACTATTGTAATTTTGTCTCAAACGTTTAATAGAATTTTAGACATGTGTTTTCGTTAAATGAATGACTTAAAGCTGAGAATTGTATCTTGCTTATTAAAATCCAAACAATATTTAATTCATCAATTAATTTAAATAATTGAATGTGGAATATGCTATTGAAATTATAGAAATATTTCAATTTTTAGATTAACTTTTTAATTTTTGACATTTTTGATTAATCAATAAATATTACAACGAAATTAAATTCTAACGTCTGGATTTTAATATCAAAATTAAACAGAATAATAAGGTTACATCATAATTTGAAATGAGAACTGTTTTTGAGTAACATAAATATAATTTTAGACTCAATTCAAGCTCTGAATAAGACAGTTGGGCCTTAAAACAGCCGTAGATCATACTCCTACGAGGAAAAAAATCAGGAACCATACCTCTATGTGTGATCCTTTGCAATTTAAGTATTACAAATAACAGTAATTTACATACTAATAACAATTTTATCTCAAAATTTTACTACAAAAGTTATAAAAAAAAACAAATACAAAACTTATAATCAATAAAGTATTTGCACACTTTGAATCAGAAGTTCTTAACAGTGCATTATGAAGTCCATAGTACTTTGTATGAAGCTCTTTTCTTACAATCACTTCGTGCAATCTTTTTTGGAGTGGATAAAATTAATTTCATAGCAGTTTTTTGTTTGATTTTCTCCATTCTTTCATCAAATATTTCCTGAGATCATTTTTGTTTGTCATCTTGTGTTTTCTTATTTTTAGATCCAAAATAAGCTATAAATTCTCAATAGGATTGAGATCTGAATTTGGGTTGGACAAAATTTTTATTTTAATTTATAAAGCATTCATTCGATTACAGTCTTGGCAGTATGAAAGAAATTATTTTGTCAATCCAGATTTTTATCAGGTAAAAGTTTAAGATCACTGTCTTTCGGCATTAATAAAGTTTTGATGAATAATTGTTCTAAAATTTGTTTTCATTTTGAAAGCAGCATTCTATACGTGTCAAAAGTGCTTGTGAGATATTTTGTGTTTATTTTCGTGCTTTACTCATATAAACTTTATTAACACTGAAAGACAGTGATGTTAAACTTTTATCTTGGCAGTATGTTTTTATTTTCTATCTGTACAGTAATTGTAATCATTCTCATCCCATTTTTCTTGCACTTTTTTCATTAAATTACCTTGCAATATCTTTAAGTATGATTTAGTATCCATACTAGGACATTGTGCAACTTTATCATATCATAATAGAATTGAGGTGGAGCCAGAAAGATAGAAGCAATCCCTGCAGTTAGGCACAGAAGAGGCAATCCTTTGTTTCTGCCTAAAACTGTACTTTGAAAATGTTTTTTCACTAAAACATCAGGTTGAATAAAGGTTTTAGCTTAAAAGCAATATTTGTGGAATTTTTTAGTTATTTTTATAAAAGAATGAATATCATTTTGCAATAGAATATTGATAATCTACAATTTTAGAATCTGGCATAGCTTGTATACTCTGAAAACCACATTAATTTTTGACATAAGCAATAACATATAAATCTTGAAATTCTAATTTTACTTTTCCTACTTTCTTACTTTAAAATATTGGAATCATGTCAAATTTTATCCTCTGAGTTTTTTGCGAATCTTCATGTTTTGAGACCTCTTGAATCCAAAAAAGTAAAAGAAAAAAAAAATGGAAAAAAATTCTGTACATGTATGTTGGCATCTATTTTGTATACCCCATTCTAAGATATTAAAGTTTAAGAATTTCATTTCTTAAACTTTCTGCACAGTAGCTTGTGTATGAGGTGTATTGATGCTGTCAAATTTTGGTGGTTAAAGATCAAATTGATAAGGAGATAGTGAGTAAAATATTCATTAAGTCAAGATATGACTTAATGAATATTTTACTTGTTATTAATATTTACAATTTTTTTTATAAAACTCAAGTCTAATGTCAGAATTAAGCTTTTTGCCATTTTAGAGCAATTAAAAATATAATAAGTTTTTATAACAAAATCTCATAACAGATGGCACCACACACAATTTTATTTATTATGCTTAATAATATAAAAGTTTTTTTTTTTAACAAAATTGCATAATAGTTGGGAAAGTTATGCAACTCATTGCTGAATTTTTTTAATTCTAAGACAATAAAAGTGTAATTGACTATAGCTTTTAAAAATAGTATATTTATATATAACTTTTAAAATTTATATTTATCTATTTGATAAATGCAAATTACAGTAGACCCCCCTATAACACGGTAGATACGTTCCCTGTTATATGAATTCCGTGTTGTATGAGTCACTTAAATACATGAGCCAATCACAGCCTGGCACATGTGCAGTTCAGCGGCTTTGGCTGTTTGAAGGGTTTTCTTCCATAAAATTAATCAATTCTAGACTAATTTGACTCAACATTTCCAAATCACATATAATTTTTTGGGAATAATCCATATAAACTATGCTATAAACAAAAAATTGTAGGATTACTTACCAAGTGTGCACCGTTCAAAGATGCTATTGCTTAAGCTTGTTTTCATCACAGAGCGGCTCATCGAATGGCAGGCGCATATTTTCTGATAAGTTATTTTTCTGCGAAAAATTCACTGAACTTTGGAGACGTCATTAATATAAATTTAATTTTTATGGACGTTAAATAATAAATGGTTTTTAGTAGGTCCACTGCTTGGTTAAACTCAGCGGTTTGTGCAATGTCTACTATTGGTCCAGATTCGACCAATCCTGTCGTGACACGAGTCAGCGATGATGTTTTACCATATTATACGAGTCTCTTTTAGTGTGTTATACGAACACGATTGCAATTTTTTTGCCATGTTATATGAACCCATGTTATAGGGGAGTCTACTGTATTTTTAAATAAAAATATTTTTGAATTATATATGTGATATAATAATAATTAATATTAATGTAATCAAAATTAATTTTTTAGTGTATAACTGGCTAGAAGTTAATGTGAAAATGAGATTATTAAACTTGGGGAAGCCGTCAGAAGTACCAAAATTGAATGAAAACATGGCCATTGAACTTGGAGCTGAATTACTTGGAGAAACAATAATATTTAGCATTGCTGCTATAACTCTCACTGCAGAATATATCAGATCCTCTAGAAAAGAACGAGAAAAAGAAGAAGCGAGACAAGAGTATTTTAGCAATTTAGAAAAATCAATCGAAGACCTTAGATTTACTGTCGAGAAACAACAAGTTGAGATCAGACATTTAACAAGATTGTGTTATTCTTCTTCAAAACATAAAGGAGAACATGAAGATAAGAAAGAAGGCAAATCTTGAAATTATATATATTCTTGTTTTCTAAGAAATTATTTATTAAAAATGGGATAGACATAAATTACAATTTTGAAATTGAATATATTAAAAGTTATTGTAGACAATGTACTATAATTTTAAAGGCATATAAAAGATATTTTCAAAAAATTGCAGTATCTTTTAAAATTTATATAATTTAAAAAGAAAAATTATTTGAAAATGCTAAATTCTTGACCTTTGGTATCCAAGTTTCTTTAAATAATTTTTTTATTATCTTATCAAGTTAAAATAATAAATAATAATGAATTGTTTACACACAGTAATGCATATTATTGAAATAGTAAAAATACAAAAAAAAATATTTTATAATAGTGTAGGAAAATTATAATCAATAGAAGTAAATTTTAAGATTCTTCTGCATCTAATTTATTTTTAAAATTGTTAAATATATTAGTTTGAAGAGTATACAGTTGTAAATTTATTATTATACACATGTCCAGAACTTCAGGATGAAAACAATTGCTAGTAGTGGATAGCTATAAAAAGTCATTGATCCAGTCAGTGGCAGTTTCCATAGATGTATGAATGAAGCAGATGGTGAATGACTATGCAAATTTTTGCTAGAAAATGTACAGGGGTCTTGTGACAGTAGTGACATGACTAAAAAGTATGCTGCAGTAAAAATAGCTTGGGTGATGATTCTTGACAAGAAGCAATAACGTGTTACTTCTGACTCAGAAAATTTGAAGATGCTGCAGAATCACTGGAGTTTGGAATTGCATTCAAAGGACTGAAATGTGTTCCAGATGCATACACTATGACTACACATGAAGACTGATATTTAACAGCAAGAGCAAAATGAAATCAAAGCAGCACAGCTGGTGAGCTTGCAAATTATCTCCATTCCAGTACAGGAATGATAATATCCCCAACAAACTGTGGCTTCACAGCTACAAAAAATAGAGCCATATGCTTGAAGGTTTATTGTCTGTATGCCTCTATTCAGAGAGCATTGTAGAGTGCATTGCAATGATGTCAGATCCACCACAATTGGATAATACATCAATGGGTCAACGTGCTGTTTGTCAATGAAAGTTGTTACAGTCTGAAATTGGATTCCAGACAGTTCATCTGGCATAAACATGTTATGATGTACAAGCAGCAAAATGTGCAGAAAAGGGCTTGATATGATGGTGCGGAGGTAAAGGTTTTGGCTGGCATCATGATTGATGGTTGTACCAAGCTACAGGTGCTAAAAACCAGCACTATGACAGTTGATTGCTATTGTACAGAGGTTATTGAATGTCGTGTTTGATTTTTCCCTGATGCCATTGGCAAAACATTTATTATTATGGATAATAACAGCACACCTTGTCAAACCATTGCAGTTACACTCTCCTGGAGACCAAGGATATCCATTGAATTGTCTGGCTTGTATGCTCCCAGACCTAAACCCAATGGAATATGTTTCAGTTGTACTGGGGAGAATTGCTCTTCAAAATCTCCTGCCAAAATAAGCATGCGAGTGGACCAATATGCCCTAAGAACATCTGAATCACTTGATGACGAGTCTACCATAACATTGTAATGCTGTATTCAAGATGAACATATTTCATACTGACTGGTCTCTCTGCCTGGGTTTTGGTAAGCATTTTCCATCCATTTTCCACCTATGTCTAACTGCTGTATGTATCTTTTCATCAAACACTAACTTTTATTGCTTTGATTTGTAAAATCCTACAAGTTATGTATTACCCTGTGTTAGATGTAAAGTAATACAGTGCTTGTTAAGTTTGTCTTCATTTATCTAGTTCTCCCTATTCATGTACATATGTAGTCGATCCTTAAGTTTTGAATGTGTGTATCAACAATTAAAAAAAAACTCATCAAAATCACAAGATGTTAGAAACATTGATTTTTAGAAAAGAGATCAAGACCACGGGCCAGATATGAAGCCTTAATGGTCAGTATACAGCCTGCAGACTGCTCATTTGAGACGCCTGATCTAGATATTCCAGTAGTTCAACAATGAACACTTTAAAAGACTGAGATCTTGTTGGTCAGTGGATTAATCTGAAGTGAATAATTGAAACTGAATTCATACTAACAATCAACATGATGTTCTGTCAGTCCTATTATGGTTGGAACTATTTGTGAACTTTTGTCCTTTCCTACTATAACTATTGTTTCATCTAAGATGAAGATTGAAACCACATTAATTGATAAATATTAATTTTAGCTGATCATTAGGTGCATTTATGGTAAAGCATATTTGTAATGCAAATCAATTGTATTTTGAATGTCAATTCTATCCAATATTTTATAGCTTCTTGTCAGAGAAATACATAACTGATAGTTAAGACATTACATATAGTTGCTAGAGACAACTTTACCTGATGTTCCTCAGATGAAATTAGCAATAGCTTTCAATGTTATATGCCATTTTCCTCGATCTTTCCTTCTATATCCTTGACTATTGTAGATGTTATCATTTTTAAATATTGAATTGGTGCTGTAGGCCTCTTGTCAAGTATCCAGTGTTCCTATATTTTGCAACCACGTGTTGAGCTGTATTGTAATTTAAGGACAGTAGTTGGCTAGCTTCTTTAATATTTAATCGTCGTCATCAATTAACTTCATCAAAAGATTTTGTTCCCATTACTTATTTTATCATACAACATTTCCTACAGAGAATCAGTCAGTCCATTGTCTTCCAGTGCTGGCAAGAAATGCAAATGAAATCTGTTTACACGTTTTAGTAAATGAGTAAACTTATGAAATATTTCATTAGGTAGATGAAATATGTTGATGGAATGTATATCAAAATTGTTGCTAGGATATTGTAATTAATTTTTTTCTAGATTTTAAAAGCATGGTATGTAAATGAACTTGATGATTTTGCAGTGAAAATAAGTTGAGTGTTTGAATTCTGTTAATAAGTCACAAAAAATGATTAATATCAAATATAAAGCATTTTTACATGAAATTAATAATTGCATGTAATCCTGTATAATTATATATATGCTATTAAGAAATTAAAATATGCTTCTTTTTAAAATTTTTTCATGGAAACTAATTTCGAAAATTTTCAATAAGTAGATCATACAATAGTCTGTTAAGGTAATAGTCTGTCTGGTAATAGTAAATATTATCAGTAACAGTTATGACGAAAAAGTCTATTGAATAGATTTAAAAACTTATTCGAGATAAGAGTCTCATGGTTTATGCATGGAATGCAGAAATAAACAATTTGTATTCAAATTAAAACTAAGCAGGCAATAGAAATACATCAAATTTCAGAAACCACATTATATAAATAGGAATAGTCAATAATATAATATTTCTTTGATTTACTTTAAACAGATGAAATACAGTATTTTTAAAATAAGCTCAAGATAAAAATTTGCATTTGTTGTGTGAAAAAAAAATTGTTTCAGAAAACATTTCAGCTATATAATACAATATAAAACTGTCATCATCTGTAACTATTAATAATTATACAATATAATTTAATTTCTTGAGTGTAGTCAATTTTAAAGTTTTGTTTTTTATTCTGTATTCAATATAATGTATTATTTTTTACATGCACAGTAAGATTTATCATTTATAAGGATGCATTACTTCCAAATTGTATAAAATGAGATCAGATAGCAACTATAACAGAGACTTCTTGTTAGTTAAAAGATTTTCATTTTTTATTAATAAATTCTGTTATAAAGATTATATTTTGAATTGGTTCTTGTAGAATTTGATGTTAATTATTTCTATAATTAATTTTGATAATTTGAAGTAAGAAGTATATTTTTAAATAATAATTACTTCAAATTTTTATACAAATAGAATATTTAAACAACAAACATGTATTTTGTTTGTTGTTTTGTATTTAGTTAAACAGGATTAATATTAAAATATAGGAAACAAAAAGAGCAAGCATCCCTCTAAAGTTTTAGATATTTACCAAATGAACTATTTCTTGTCATTATTCCATTACATAATAACTTGTTATCAAAAGTATTAAAGTAATGCCATATTTTTCAAAATTATGACAAAGCTTGATTTAGTAACATCAAAATAGTGACAGACTACAGAGCATATAAACTGTTTTAGATAGGCAAATATTTTGGTCATCTAAAGTATAGATTCTTAATATCAACAGCAAAGAATGCTGTTGATATTAAGAATTAAGTTAAGTACTGGGGCCGTATTCTGGTCACTGATTGGCTAATCATTTGGATTAGCCAATTAGCGACCGGCTTGCGAGAGATGAGAGACCAGAGACAATGACCAGAATATGACCCCTGGTTTGTAAAGAGCAACATTTCAGGACAAGAAACAGCAGACCATTCTCTTCTAAAATGATGGCTTTTTAATAATCAAATATATATTATAAAAAATTACGTACTAAATCAAAACCTCAAATATATTATTTACATTATGTGCAAAAACATTAACTCTCATTTGAATAAATATTAAATAATTACAATTTAATTTATAAAATTAAGAACATTTTCTAATGTTAAAGGGCAATATCATTCTATTCTTTATAGTTGTTTTGAAGATAGTTTATTAAAGGGTAGTGATATTAATGTATCTTAGAATCAAAAACATCTCATTGAAATTAATTATGTAAAGGAAATTTATTTTATTTTTAATTTCATTAATTAATGCAAATACTATGTCACAATTCTGACATCCAGATAGCTGAAGTAATTAAAGCATCTTTCTGGAAAACCTGGGGTTCAATTTTAAACCACTCCTTGTAGAGTTGCCAAATTTTAATTTTACATGGGCAATCTGTTGAAGATATCAGGCCCCATTCCTTGCCATTTGACCATTTCCACTGTGGGCCTGGCTGAATTCATAAAGGTTATGTACCAAGTAGAGTTAAAAAAGAAAAAATTGCATCCTTTATATTCTCCAAAAGTGCATTTGTTCTTAAACTACTAAACTGTATTAAAATGTTCCTAATTATTATTGTCTCTTAATGTAAAAAAAAAAAAAATACAAAAATTTATGTAGTATGATGTCCAACAGAGTATGCCAAATTAATAATTTAACATATAAAATAATTTGAATACAATTTTAATTAATATTCAAATTTTATAAATATACATATACATATATCTTTTGTCTATGTTTAAATTATGATTACAAAAAGCCCTTTATAAGTAATGATAAATTTTTCTCTATAACAGAGAATCTTTAATAGTAAAAATTTTCATTTCTATGGAATTTAGTAAGCATATCATTTCAATTTTATGTACTGTACATCATGTCTCAGTCCATAATTTACATAAATTGTAATAACTATGAATCTATTTCTGGATGATGAAAAACAATATTTTGGAAGACAACTGTATTGACAATGTATTGTACTATTCAAATACTTCAGCAAGATATTCGAAATGCAGTTGCAAACGTTAATCAATTATCACAAATTTATTGGATTTAATCGATACACTTTTATATGTACAGCTGAATTATTTCTAATTTGTGTATGAGATTCCAAATGATCATATTCCGGTTCCCAATCGTCAACTAATTCTACAGTAGACGTGTTGACACTCACTTCGATAATTTCCACGTGATTACTTTTTAACTGCAGAGCTAGATTAATAGCACGATTGCAAGCACTTCCGAGTCCGTGAATGTACAGTTCATTTTCTCCATTATTTATAAGTTTCTCACAACGATTAAGTTGCGCTTTAAAGTTGGTTTTCATGTTTACATACACATCATTTTTTCGTTTTGGCAACTTCCTTGGAAGCCTCTTCCTCAATGTATATTCTTCCTGATCGAACCATATCTTTTCCTTCTGTCTTTCTTCTGTACCTTCTTTTCCTAGCGATTGTGCCATCTAATAATCAAATTTTACCTTAGAAAAAGTCAAATTTAAACCAAACATTTAAAAATAGCTATAAAACATCTAATTACAGCACAGAACGTTTAAAATCCCATACTTGGCAATATTTTTGACACGTGACTTACAAAACTACTACGCGACGAATTAGCATCGTAATATCGCTTTTCTATAGCCCAATTTCCAGTGTTATCTGATTGTTTTATTTCTAAAATTATATAAATTATTTCATTGTATGTTAATGTAAGAAAAATAATACAGTCATTCCTCGGTTTACAAACTTAGACGGTATTTCACACGTTCTGTCGTGTCGGAATTTTTATGCTTTAGTCCAGGGGTCACAAACTACGACCCGCCGCCGCACTGTGCCACAAATGAGCTAAAATATAATTATTTATCATAGATTGTAGATGAACTTACTATGTAGAAAAAATTAAAATAAGTGTAACTAAAAATGCCAAAATTGGTTCAATCTGATTTTTGCATTTAATAGTAATATAATTTTTAGGAAAATCAGTGAAATGAAAATTTCGGTTTTTTTGCGACTTTGCAATTTTTGTGTACGTACTGTACTTGCAATGAAGATTCCAAGAAAAGCGATTACGAGCTTGCTCCAGTCATCGTCTTTGTATTGCTAAATAAATATGTTGGTTGTCTTTATTTTTTGTGTATTCAGTGTGCTGTATTGAACAAAATGGTTATCAGAGTCGCGCTCGTCGTTCTCTGTTATCTGGCCCGCTGTGAGAAAATTTGATGACCCCTGCTTTAGTCTGCTGAAAAAAGATCAATATGAAAAATATGTCATCTCAAAAATTGTCCAAAATTTTTGTCAATCGATAAAAATTCCCAAAATAGAAATGCTGGGCTGCATTGCATAAAAACTGCCTTCGGTTCTCAACGTCACTTCCTGTTTTCCAGCCTGAACTGGCGCCTTAGTCTGAACTTGCTAACGTCGTGACGTTGCTAGGTGTGTCGTGCACAGGAGGTTGACATTCTTTATCCTGAAATGTGCTTTGTAATTTAATTTCACGCTGAACGTCGAAATAAGGCGCTGTCCATAAATTGTCAGCATTTTTATTGAGATTTTCACTCTCCCTCTTAGGACATCTAACAAAACTGTACCACCCTTAAAACCTTTATCGCTTTATGAATGATAGATACCGTAAGTATAAACGAAACATATAATTTTGAAATAAATATAATAAAATGCATAAAATTTAATGAAATAAACTGACAATTCACTGAAGCTCAACCCTCCCTCTCTTCCAACGTGGACGTCATTTGTGGACAGTCCCTATAGAACTAGGATTTTTATCGCCACTTTAATACAAATATTGTCAAGTGACGATTTTGGCTCTATGCAGTATGACCATTGCTACTATGGTTCTAAACGTAGATGTTGGTAGTTCCAAACTCGGAACTATAGTACTAACGCATTATTCGTGGGCCGGATGGCCGAGCGATCAAGGTGGCATCCTACCGCTCTGGGGGACCCGGGCTCGAATCCGAACGGGTCGAAAGATCCCCAGGAATTTTTCGGGGGGTAGTCCGTTCGGATATGTCGGGCACCGTCCCTCACCACCCGGCTGCCCCATTGTGGGCCTGGCCGAATCCATAATAGGCTTGCAAAAAGAGGCCCTCTTAGTGCCCACAGGGCGGAGAGTTAAAAAAACGCGTTATTCGTTTTATATTTTTACGAATGCGGCTTTTCATAGGACATTGAACGCTTTATCTGGATTTGAACTTGAACTAAATGTTCCATGAGTTTTAGGAATGATGAAATTAGCTTTGAGTATTTTAAATTCGTAAAGATATAAATTTTTAATATGAGTTCTTAATTATTTATTTTTATTAGTAACTAGTATATACAGGTATAGNGTAGATACGTTCCCTGTTATATGAATTCCGTGTTGTATGAGTCACTTAAATACATGAGCCAATCACAGCCTGGCACATGTGCAGTTCAGCGGCTTTGGCTGTTTGAAGGGTTTTCTTCCATAAAATTAATCAATTCTAGACTAATTTGACTCAACATTTCCAAATCACATATAATTTTTTGGGAATAATCCATATAAACTATGCTATAAACAAAAAATTGTAGGATTACTTACCAAGTGTGCACCGTTCAAAGATGCTATTGCTTAAGCTTGTTTTCATCACAGAGCGGCTCATCGAATGGCAGGCGCATATTTTCTGATAAGTTATTTTTCTGCGAAAAATTCACTGAACTTTGGAGACGTCATTAATATAAATTTAATTTTTATGGACGTTAAATAATAAATGGTTTTTAGTAGGTCCACTGCTTGGTTAAACTCAGCGGTTTGTGCAATGTCTACTATTGGTCCAGATTCGACCAATCCTGTCGTGACACGAGTCAGCGATGATGTTTTACCATATTATACGAGTCTCTTTTAGTGTGTTATACGAACACGATTGCAATTTTTTTGCCATGTTATATGAACCCATGTTATAGGGGAGTCTACTGTATTTTTAAATAAAAATATTTTTGAATTATATATGTGATATAATAATAATTAATATTAATGTAATCAAAATTAATTTTTTAGTGTATAACTGGCTAGAAGTTAATGTGAAAATGAGATTATTAAACTTGGGGAAGCCGTCAGAAGTACCAAAATTGAATGAAAACATGGCCATTGAACTTGGAGCTGAATTACTTGGAGAAACAATAATATTTAGCATTGCTGCTATAACTCTCACTGCAGAATATATCAGATCCTCTAGAAAAGAACGAGAAAAAGAAGAAGCGAGACAAGAGTATTTTAGCAATTTAGAAAAATCAATCGAAGACCTTAGATTTACTGTCGAGAAACAACAAGTTGAGATCAGACATTTAACAAGATTGTGTTATTCTTCTTCAAAACATAAAGGAGAACATGAAGATAAGAAAGAAGGCAAATCTTGAAATTATATATATTCTTGTTTTCTAAGAAATTATTTATTAAAAATGGGATAGACATAAATTACAATTTTGAAATTGAATATATTAAAAGTTATTGTAGACAATGTACTATAATTTTAAAGGCATATAAAAGATATTTTCAAAAAATTGCAGTATCTTTTAAAATTTATATAATTTAAAAAGAAAAATTATTTGAAAATGCTAAATTCTTGACCTTTGGTATCCAAGTTTCTTTAAATAATTTTTTTATTATCTTATCAAGTTAAAATAATAAATAATAATGAATTGTTTACACACAGTAATGCATATTATTGAAATAGTAAAAATACAAAAAAAAATATTTTATAATAGTGTAGGAAAATTATAATCAATAGAAGTAAATTTTAAGATTCTTCTGCATCTAATTTATTTTTAAAATTGTTAAATATATTAGTTTGAAGAGTATACAGTTGTAAATTTATTATTATACACATGTCCAGAACTTCAGGATGAAAACAATTGCTAGTAGTGGATAGCTATAAAAAGTCATTGATCCAGTCAGTGGCAGTTTCCATAGATGTATGAATGAAGCAGATGGTGAATGACTATGCAAATTTTTGCTAGAAAATGTACAGGGGTCTTGTGACAGTAGTGACATGACTAAAAAGTATGCTGCAGTAAAAATAGCTTGGGTGATGATTCTTGACAAGAAGCAATAACGTGTTACTTCTGACTCAGAAAATTTGAAGATGCTGCAGAATCACTGGAGTTTGGAATTGCATTCAAAGGACTGAAATGTGTTCCAGATGCATACACTATGACTACACATGAAGACTGATATTTAACAGCAAGAGCAAAATGAAATCAAAGCAGCACAGCTGGTGAGCTTGCAAATTATCTCCATTCCAGTACAGGAATGATAATATCCCCAACAAACTGTGGCTTCACAGCTACAAAAAATAGAGCCATATGCTTGAAGGTTTATTGTCTGTATGCCTCTATTCAGAGAGCATTGTAGAGTGCATTGCAATGATGTCAGATCCACCACAATTGGATAATACATCAATGGGTCAACGTGCTGTTTGTCAATGAAAGTTGTTACAGTCTGAAATTGGATTCCAGACAGTTCATCTGGCATAAACATGTTATGATGTACAAGCAGCAAAATGTGCAGAAAAGGGCTTGATATGATGGTGCGGAGGTAAAGGTTTTGGCTGGCATCATGATTGATGGTTGTACCAAGCTACAGGTGCTAAAAACCAGCACTATGACAGTTGATTGCTATTGTACAGAGGTTATTGAATGTCGTGTTTGATTTTTCCCTGATGCCATTGGCAAAACATTTATTATTATGGATAATAACAGCACACCTTGTCAAACCATTGCAGTTACACTCTCCTGGAGACCAAGGATATCCATTGAATTGTCTGGCTTGTATGCTCCCAGACCTAAACCCAATGGAATATGTTTCAGTTGTACTGGGGAGAATTGCTCTTCAAAATCTCCTGCCAAAATAAGCATGCGAGTGGACCAATATGCCCTAAGAACATCTGAATCACTTGATGACGAGTCTACCATAACATTGTAATGCTGTATTCAAGATGAACATATTTCATACTGACTGGTCTCTCTGCCTGGGTTTTGGTAAGCATTTTCCACCCATTTCTAACNTATTAATGTATCTTAGAATCAAAAACATCTCATTGAAATTAATTATGTAAAGGAAATTTATTTTATTTTTAATTTCATTAATTAATGCAAATACTATGTCACAATTCTGACATCCAGATAGCTGAAGTAATTAAAGCATCTTTCTGGAAAACCTGGGGTTCAATTTTAAACCACTCCTTGTAGAGTTGCCAAATTTTAATTTTACATGGGCAATCTGTTGAAGATATCAGGCCCCATTCCTTGCCATTTGACCATTTCCACTGTGGGCCTGGCTGAATTCATAAAGGTTATGTACCAAGTAGAGTTAAAAAAGAAAAAATTGCATCCTTTATATTCTCCAAAAGTGCATTTGTTCTTAAACTACTAAACTGTATTAAAATGTTCCTAATTATTATTGTCTCTTAATGTAAAAAAAAAAAAAATACAAAAATTTATGTAGTATGATGTCCAACAGAGTATGCCAAATTAATAATTTAACATATAAAATAATTTGAATACAATTTTAATTAATATTCAAATTTTATAAATATACATATATCTTTTGTCTATGTTTAAATTATGATTACAAAAAGCCCTTTATAAGTAATGATAAATTTTTCTCTATAACAGAGAATCTTTAATAGTAAAAATTTTCATTTCTATGGAATTTAGTAAGCATATCATTTCAATTTTATGTACTGTACATCATGTCTCAGTCCATAATTTACATAAATTGTAATAACTATGAATCTATTTCTGGATGATGAAAAACAATATTTTGGAAGACAACTGTATTGACAATGTATTGTACTATTCAAATACTTCAGCAAGATATTCGAAATGCAGTTGCAAACGTTAATCAATTATCACAAATTTATTGGATTTAATCGATACACTTTTATATGTACAGCTGAATTATTTCTAATTTGTGTATGAGATTCCAAATGATCATATTCCGGTTCCCAATCGTCAACTAATTCTACAGTAGACGTGTTGACACTCACTTCGATAATTTCCACGTGATTACTTTTTAACTGCAGAGCTAGATTAATAGCACGATTGCAAGCACTTCCGAGTCCGTGAATGTACAGTTCATTTTCTCCATTATTTATAAGTTTCTCACAACGATTAAGTTGCGCTTTAAAGTTGGTTTTCATGTTTACATACACATCATTTTTTCGTTTTGGCAACTTCCTTGGAAGCCTCTTCCTCAATGTATATTCTTCCTGATCGAACCATATCTTTTCCTTCTGTCTTTCTTCTGTACCTTCTTTTCCTAGCGATTGTGCCATCTAATAATCAAATTTTACCTTAGAAAAAGTCAAATTTAAACCAAACATTTAAAAATAGCTATAAAACATCTAATTACAGCACAGAACGTTTAAAATCCCATACTTGGCAATATTTTTGACACGTGACTTACAAAACTACTACGCGACGAATTAGCATCGTAATATCGCTTTTCTATAGCCCAATTTCCAGTGTTATCTGATTGTTTTATTTCTAAAATTATATAAATTATTTCATTGTATGTTAATGTAAGAAAAATAATACAGTCATTCCTCGGTTTACAAACTTAGACGGTATTTCACACGTTCTGTCGTGTCGGAATTTTTATGCTTTAGTCCAGGGGTCACAAACTACGACCCGCCGCCGCACTGTGCCACAAATGAGCTAAAATATAATTATTTATCATAGATTGTAGATGAACTTACTATGTAGAAAAAATTAAAATAAGTGTAACTAAAAATGCCAAAATTGGTTCAATCTGATTTTTGCATTTAATAGTAATATAATTTTTAGGAAAATCAGTGAAATGAAAATTTCGGTTTTTTTGCGACTTTGCAATTTTTGTGTACGTACTGTACTTGCAATGAAGATTCCAAGAAAAGCGATTACGAGCTTGCTCCAGTCATCGTCTTTGTATTGCTAAATAAATATGTTGGTTGTCTTTATTTTTTGTGTATTCAGTGTGCTGTATTGAACAAAATGGTTATCAGAGTCGCGCTCGTCGTTCTCTGTTATCTGGCCCGCTGTGAGAAAATTTGATGACCCCTGCTTTAGTCTGCTGAAAAAAGATCAATATGAAAAATATGTCATCTCAAAAATTGTCCAAAATTTTTGTCAATCGATAAAAATTCCCAAAATAGAAATGCTGGGCTGCATTGCATAAAAACTGCCTTCGGTTCTCAACGTCACTTCCTGTTTTCCAGCCTGAACTGGCGCCTTAGTCTGAACTTGCTAACGTCGTGACGTTGCTAGGTGTGTCGTGCACAGGAGGTTGACATTCTTTATCCTGAAATGTGCTTTGTAATTTAATTTCACGCTGAACGTCGAAATAAGGCGCTGTCCATAAATTGTCAGCATTTTTATTGAGATTTTCACTCTCCCTCTTAGGACATCTAACAAAACTGTACCACCCTTAAAACCTTTATCGCTTTATGAATGATAGATACCGTAAGTATAAACGAAACATATAATTTTGAAATAAATATAATAAAATGCATAAAATTTAATGAAATAAACTGACAATTCACTGAAGCTCAACCCTCCCTCTCTTCCAACGTGGACGTCATTTGTGGACAGTCCCTATAGAACTAGGATTTTTATCGCCACTTTAATACAAATATTGTCAAGTGACGATTTTGGCTCTATGCAGTATGACCATTGCTACTATGGTTCTAAACGTAGATGTTGGTAGTTCCAAACTCGGAACTATAGTACTAACGCATTATTCGTGGGCCGGATGGCCGAGCGATCAAGGTGGCATCCTACCGCTCTGGGGGACCCGGGCTCGAATCCGAACGGGTCGAAAGATCCCCAGGAATTTTTCGGGGGGTAGTCCGTTCGGATATGTCGGGCACCGTCCCTCACCACCCGGCTGCCCCATTGTGGGCCTGGCCGAATCCATAATGGGCTTGCAAAAAGAGGCCCTCTTAGTGCCCACAGGGCGGAGAGTTAAAAAAACGCGTTATTCGTTTTGTATTTTTACGAATGCGGCTTTTCATAGGACATTGAACGCTTTATCTGGATTTGAACTTGAACTAAATGTTCCATGAGTTTTAGGAATGATGAAATTAGCTTTGAGTATTTTAAATTCATAAAGATATAAATTTTTAATATGAGTTCTTAATTATTTATTTTTATTAGTAACTAGTATATACAGGTATAGGACAAAATAATAGGAACACCCCTTTCGAAATGTATAATGTACTTTGTACATTATACATTCGAAATGTACTTTGACCGTCCAATACAGCCCCGCCACGTGTCGCAACAGTCTGCCATCCAGTGGTGGTGAAAGAGAAAGTATAAGGCGAGCATTTGGCGATGCGACAGTTGCATGAGAAAATTCTGTTTTTAGCAAAGCACCATTATGTCCGACCTATCTGACATGCAAAGAGGCATGATTATTGAAACTCACCTTGCTGGAGCGTCTGTGTCTAGAACAGCCAACCTTATGGGTTTTTCAAGGTCCACTGTGTCAAGGG